GTCTGGTATGGGGACAGCACCGTGTCACGATGGGGACAGTGCTGTGCCACCATGGGGACAGGTCTGTGTCACCATGGGGACAGGTCTGTGTCACCACAGGGACAGGTCTGTGTCACCGCGGGGTCAGCTCTGTGTCACCATGGGGACAGTGCTGTGTCACCACAGGGACAGCACCGTGTCACCATGGGGACAGCCAGGTACAGGGACAGCACCGTGTCACCGTGGGGACAGCACTGTGCCACCATGGGGACAGCACCGTGCCACCACAGGGACAGGTCTGTGTCACCGCAGGGACAGCACGGGTTGGGGACAGCCAGTTTGGAGGGAAAAGGGGGAATTGAGCTGGGGAAAATCGGGATAAATCCCCAATTCCTCCCCAGATTTGGAGGGCAAAGGGGGATTGTGCCGGGATAACCGGGATGAATTCCCGGTCCCTCCCCGGTCTGGAGGGCAAAGGGGGATTGTGCCGGGATAACCGGGATGAATTCCCGGTCCCTCCCCCGTTTAGAAGGAAAAGGGGGATTGTGCCGGGATAACCGGGATGAATTCCCGGTCCCTCCCGGTTTGGAGGGAAGCGGGGCCGGGAGAGGCGGGCCCGGGACTCCCTCCCGTACCCAGCAGCTTGCCGGTCTGGATGTCGATGGGAACGTTCCGGTAGTCCTGGGGAGCGACCTGCGGGGGACACGGCAGGAACGGGGCTGCGGGCACCGGAACCGGTACCGGGACGGGAAAGGGACCGGGACCCTCCGTTCCAGCGCCGGGCTCGGCTGTGCCCGCTGCCCTGGGGCCGGACCCGCTCCCGGCCCCTTCCCCGGTACCGGTCCCGATTCCAATCCAGCTCCCGCTCCCGGTCCCTTCCCCGCTCCGGTCCCGGTCCTTTCCCCTGTCCCTGTCCAGGTCCCTTCCCCGCTCCCGGTCCTGGTCCTTTCCCCGGTCCCTGTCCCAGTCCTTTCCCCGGTCCCGGTCCCTTCCCCGCTCCGCTCCGCACCTCCATCTTTCCCGTCACCGCCCCTCCACTTCCGCCCTCCCCGTTCCAGCCAATCGGCGGCCTCAGCGCCCGCGCCTCGGCCAATCAAAGCGCCCTCCTCCCCGAGGTCCTGCTCCCGCCAATCAGAACGCGGTATCTCGGATGCAGCGCCACGTCCCTGTGCCTCGATTGGCTGGAAGGGAAAGGGTCAGGGGTGGCTCGGACCAATCGGAGAGGGCGGTGGGAGTTCGGTGGTCCCGGTCCCGGTCCCGGAGCAAATCCTGATCCCGATCCCGATCCCGGTCCCGGTCTCTTCCCCTTGCTTGATCCTGATCCCGATCCTGATCCCGGTCCCGATCCCGATCTCGGTCCTGGTTCCAAACCTGACACAATGCCGGTCCCGATCCCAATACTGATCCCGGTCCCAGCACAAATCCTGATCTCAACACCAGTGCAAATCCCGGTCCCGATCCTGGTCCTGGAGCAAATCCCGATCCCAATCCCGGTCCCGATCCCGATCTCGGTCCCGGTTCCAAACCTGACATTAATCCCAATCCCAGTCCCAATCCCAAACCTGGTCCCTGTCCCAATCCCAAATCCGGCGTTAAACCTGGCACCAATCCCGGTCCCAATCCCGATCCCGATCCTGGTGCAAATCCCGATCCCAATCCCAGTCCTGATCCCGAAACCGATCCTGATCTCAGTCCCGGTTCCAAACCCGACATCAATCCCAGTCCGGATCCCGATCCCGGCCACAATCCCAGTCCTGGTTCCAAACCTGGCACTAATCCCAGTCCCAGTCCCAGTCCCAGTCCCGAGGTGCCCCAGTACCGAGCCGGGATCCCCAGGGGGCTCCCGGGTAGATCCCAAACCCCTCAGGGATCCCCGGGAGGCTCCAGAGCAGATCCCAAACCCCTCAGGGATCCCCAGGGCCACCCAGAGCCACCCAGGGCCACCCAGGGCCACCCAGAGCCACCCAAGGCCACCCGGGGCCACCCGGGGCCACCCTCCCGGGGCTGGCACCGTTCCCGGTCATGAATATTCAGCCGTGCCCGGCCCGGCCCCGCTGTTTGCTCCGGCGGGAGGGGTTTGGGAGCGGGTTCACCTTGACGGGAACACCGGGGCAGCGGCAGGTGAGCGGCACCTGCCCGCGCTGCCCCCCCGGGACACTCCGGGACACGCCCGGGACACCCCGGGACATCCCCGGGACACCCCCGGGACACCCCCGGGACACCCCGGGACACCCCCGGGACATCCCCGGGACCCCGGCCGCGGCAGGAGCAGGTACCGGGGTGCGGTGTCCGTGCTGGGGATGGTCTGTGGGACCCCCGGGGATGCTCTGGGGACACGGGTGGGGATGGTCCCACCTGGCTGTGGCACGGGCGAGGGGCGCTGGGGACACCGGGGCCACCAGTCCCCGTGGCCTTGTCCCCACGTCGCAGACGGAAACGGGGGTTTTGTCCCCAAAACGATGCCCCCGGCGACACCGGGGAGGGACACGGGTGGGGACAGGGACGGGGGCAGCGGGCTGTGCTGCACCGGGCACCGGGAATCCCCTCCGTGCCCCGGGCTCGGGAGCCGCCTTCCCTCGGTTCCTGCCCCGGGGCCACGCTCGGCTCCGGAGCCTTTCCCGGCGGGAACGGGGAGCGCCGAGCCCGGTGTGGGGCAGGCGGGGACCCCCTGGCAGCGCCCCCGGCACCTCCCGGTGCCCCCGGCAGCGCCCCCGGCACCTCCCGGTGCCACCTGCCCGGTTCCTGTTCCTGTTCGCTCCCCGCGCTCCCTCCCCGCCACACGTGGCTGATAAGGGCAGCTCCCGGTCCCCTTTTCCCGGTTCCCTTTTCCCGGTTCCCTTTTCCCGGTTTTCCTCCGCGATTCCCGAGCCGCGGAACACCCGCCCGGTCCCGGTGCTCCCGGGGGATCCCGTCCCGGTGCTCCCGGGGGATCCCGCCGCGAGCATCCCGCGGGGAGGACGCGTCCCGGGGAGGGCGGAGGGGCTGCGGGAGGGAGGGACGGAGGAGCGCGACCCCCGCGTCCCGCTGCAGGATGGGCGACGGGCACGGCCGCTGGAAGCTGACGTTCCTGCGGAAGCGGCAGGCAGCGCCCGCCGTACCGAGCGAGAGCCCCGAGGGACCGGCGGCACCGGGCGGGGACAGCGCGGAGGGACCGGGCCCCGAGGGCACCCCCGGATTCGCCGCCCGCCTGGAGAAATTCGTGGACAAGAGCACCAGGGGCAAGCACGTCAAGGTCTCGCACTCCGGCCGCTTCAAGGAGAAGAAGAAAGTCCGGGCGACGCTGGCCGAGCACCCCAACCTGTGCGGGGCCGCCGAGCGCGACGAGAAGTGACCCCACCGGGCGGATTGTCGCCCGCCGGGGCCGCCGGAGCGGAGAGGACTCGGGATGGAATTTACCGGTGGGATTATCCGGGACTGACCCCGGGGCACGGCGGGGCCGGTGCTCCCCGTCCCTCCCCTGCCCAGCGCCGACTGGTTCGTACTGGGATGAGGACACTCCCCCCGCGGCCCTGGCTCTGGCCCAGCCCCATTCCCAATCCCCATTCCCAATTCCCCATTCCCAACCCCATTCCCAGCCCCATTCCATTCCCAATCCCATTCCCAATTCCCCATTCCCAATCCCATTCCCATTCCCAACCCCGTTCCCAATCCCATTCCCAGCCCCATTCCCAGTCCCAATCCCATTCCCATTCCCAGCCCCATTCCATTCCCAATCCCATTCCCAATTCCCCATTCCCATTCCCATTCCCATTCCCATTCCCATTCCCATTCCCAGCCCCATTCCCAATCCCATTCCCATTCCCATTCCCAACCCCATTCCCAGCCCCTCCTCCCGTCACTTTTTGGGGCCGAGCCCCACTCGTGTCCCAGTCCCGCGGGGCTGCAGAGCCCCGGGAGGGGACGCGACCCTTCCCCGCCCCGAGGGACCGACCCCGCGGGACCGATCCCCGCGCGGGGACCGCGGAGCGCTCCGGGAGTTCCCCGGGAATCGCCGCCCGCTGCTGGAAGCGGGGACCTGGCAGCGCTCGCGCCTGCCTGCTGCTAATTAACAGATGTTAATAAAGCTCCGGGAGAGCTCCGCTGGGTCCCGGATCCGCCTGGAGGGGAGGGAAGCTCCGGATCGCCGCGGACACGGGTGGGAGCGGGGCGTGGCGGGGAATCCCCCACCCGGTGACGGACGAGGAAGCGGAGGCGGGTCCGGGAGAGCTCCGGGATCCCAAAACCCGGCGTGGAAGGGTGGGAAGGCTCTGGATCCCTCTGGGATCCCTCTGGGATCTCTCCGGGAGCCATCCCGGGCAATCCCTAACCCCGAGGGAAAAGGGGACACGCGGGAGGTGGAAGCAGAGGCGGCTCCAGGGATTTCCTGCGGATCCCGGGATCCCTCCTGGGAGGTCTGGATCCCTCTGGAGCCCCCCCGGGACCGGTGCCATCTCCCCCCGGGGCCGGTGCCGGTGCCAGCTCCCCCCGGGGCCGGTGCTCTCCTCCCGGTGCCGGTGCCAGCTCCCCCCGGGCCGGTGCCAGCTCCTCCCGGTTCCAGCTCCCCCGGTGCCGGTGCCAGCTCCCCCCGGGCCGGTGCCAGCTCCTCCCGGGGCCGGTGCCAGCCCCTCCCGGTCCCGCCCTGGGCTCTGTTTGCTCGCAGCCCGTCCCTTGTCGCTCCGGGATCCCGGATCGTGTCCCGGCGGCACCGGGAGGATGGGATTTGGGACAATTCTGTGCCCCTTTCTGCCACATCGCGCTGTCCCCTCCTGTCCTTGCACAGCCGGGAGGGTCCGGAGCCACTCCGGGGGTTGTGACAGCGGCACAAAGGGGGTGACAGCCCCGTGCCACCGTCCCAGGACAGGACAGGGCGCCCTTGGCACGGTCCCGCCCCGGGACAGCACACTCGGGACCGGGACACGTTTTTGGGGCTGGTTTGTCACCCAGGGCCGGGTCCAGGCCCGGGATTGGCGGCAGCTCCGAGCTCCGGTTGTCCCGGGAGAGCCCGGCCCCGCCCGGGGACATTAAACATTAACCCGCGATGAAGCCAAAGGCCTCACGGAAATCCCGGGTTGTTTTTCCGGGCAGCTGCAGGAGGGGACGGGGGAGGGCCCCGGGACGGGCCCCGGGACGGGCCACGACAGCGGCGACACGACTGAAGTTAATTAAACAGAGGCGGTAACGAACTGCCAATGGAGCACATTCCATAATTCCAGCAAAAACAGGGAGAGGTGGCAGCGACAGCGACAGGGACGGGGACGGGGCACAGCTGGACGCTGCACGATCATTAACACGATTAATTAAGCAGCAGAAGCGGCTGCAGAGGGATTTGGGGACACGGCGGGGTGAGGGCAGCTCCGCACCCATTCCCCAGGGCACGGCGAGGGACGGGGACAGGCCGGGGACAGGCCGGGGTGGCCGCGACACTCGGGGACATTGCGGGGACACTTGGGGACATTCCGGGGCCGCCTCGACCCTCGACCCTCGGGGACATTCCGGAGCAGTCGCGACACTCGGCGACATTCCGGGGCCGCTCGGGGACGTTCCGGGGCTGCTCGGGGACATTCTGGGGTGGTCGCGACACTCGGGGACATCGCGGGGCCGCCCGGTGCCGTACCGGGGACACTCGGTGCCGTTGCGGGGCTGCTCGGGGACATACCGGGGACATACCGGGGACACTCGGGGACATACTGGGGCCGCCCGGTGCCGTTCCGGGGCCGCTCGGGGACATACCGGGGCTGCTCGGGGACATTGCGGGGTGGCCGCGACACTCGGGGACATCGCGGGGCCGCCCGGTGCCGTTCCGGTGCCGCTCCGGGGACACTCGGTGCCGTTCCGGGGCCGCTCCGGGGCCGCCCGGTGCTGTACCGGTGCCGCCCGGTGCCGTACTGGGGACACTCGGGGACATTCCGGGGCCACTCGGTGCCGTTCCGGGGCCGCTCGGGGACATAGCGGGGACATTCGGGGACATCGCGGGGCCGCCCGGTGCCGCTCCGGGGCCGCTCGGGGACGTACCGGGGACATTCGGGGACATTGCGGGGCCGCTCGGTGCCGTTCCGGGGACACTCGGTGCCGTACCGGGGCCGCTCGGTGCCGTACTGGGGCCACTCGGGGACATACCGGGGACATACCGGGGACATTCGGGGACATCGCGGGGACACTCGGTGCCGCCCGGTGCCGTACTGGGGCCGTACCGGGGGCACTCGGTGCCGTACCGGTGCTGTTCCGGGGCCGCTCGGGGACATACCGGGGACATTCGGGGACATTGCAGGGCCGCTCGGGGACACTCGGGGACATCGCGGGGACACTCGGGGCCGTACCGGGCTCAGGGCGCCAGGCGCTCGTACACCCAGTCGCCGTGGCCGCGGCGGGTCATGGCCCCGAGCGGCGCCGCGCGGTCCCGCAGGCGGCGGAACACGATCCGGTCGTGCAGCCGGTTCGATTGGCCCTGCCAGAACTCCACCGACTCCGGTTCCACCAGGTACGCGCCCCTGCCGGGACACCGGGCGGGGGTCTGGGGGGGTCTGGGGGGATCTGAGGGGCTCTGGGGGGGTTCAGGGGGTTCTGGGTGGGATCTGAGGGGATCTGGGGGGGATGTGAGGGGGTTTTGGGGGGATCTAGGGGGGATCTGAGGGGGTTCAGGGGGGCTCTGAGGGGGTTCTGGGGGGATCTGGGGGGGATCTGAGGGGCTTCTGGGGGGATTTGGGGGGCTCAGGGGGGCTCTGGGGGGATCTGAGGGGGATCTGGGGGGGTTCAGGGGGGCTCTGGGGGGGCTCTGGGGGAGATTATGGGGAACTCAAGGAGGGCTCTGGGGAGCTCTAAGGGGCTCAGGGGGGTTCTAGGGGGGTTGTGGGCAGATTTGGGGGGCTCAGGGGGGCTCTGAGGGGTTCAGGGGGTCTCAGGGGGTTCTGTGCAGATTTGGGGGGTTCAGGGGGTCTCAGGGGGGTCAGGGGGTCTCAGGGGGTTCTGTGCGGATTTGGGGGGCTCAGGAGGGCTCTGAGGGGGGCTCAGGGGTGCTCAGGGAGGCTCCAGGGGGATTCTGTGCGGATTTGGGGGGCTCAGGGGGCTCAGCCCCCCTGCTCACCAGTAGTCTGGCCTGGGCACCGGCCGGTCCCTGTAGAGCTCCTCCAGCTCCGCGCTCCTCTTGCGCAGGAACTGCGGGGAACGGGGCCGGGAGGGGTCACGGGGGGAATCAACGGGGATCCCAAAGGGAACGGGGCCGGGAGGGGTCACGGGGGGAATCAACGGGGATCCCAGAGGGAATGGGGCCGTGAGGGGACCCCAAATGGAATCAACGGGGATCCCATGGCTGATCCCAAAGGGAACGGGGCCGTGACGGATCCCAAAGGGAACGGGGCCATGAGGGGATCCCAGAGCTGATCCCAAAGGGAACAGGGAGGCCGATCCTCGCTGATCCCGGCTGATCCCAGTGCCAATCCCGATCCCAATCCCGGTCCCAATCCCCATCCTGATCCCGATCCCGATCCCGATCCCGATCCCAATCCTGATCCCGGCTGATCCCAATCCCGATCCCGATCCCGATCCCGATCCCGATCCCAGTCCCAGCTGATCCCAATCCCGATCCCGATCCCAATCCCGATCCCGTCCCACCTCTCGGTCGGGGATGACGGAGCTCTGCCTGCTGACCACGGCCCCGATCTGGCTGTCCCTGGGCCGGGACTGGAAATACCGATCCGATTCCTCCGCCGGCAGCCGCCGCACCGAGCCCTCCACCCGCACCTGGGGGGCAGAGACAGAACCGGCATTGACCCCACAGCTGTGGGGCAGGGACGGCACCGAGCCCTCCACCCGCACCTGGGGGCAGGAACGGGACCCACAGATGTGGGGCAGGGACGGGACAGAACCCACAGCTGTGGGGCAGGAATGGCACTGAACCCTCCACCCGCACCTGGGGTGCAGAGACGGGACCCACAGATGTGGGGCAGGAACAGCATTGAACCCATAAATCCCCTTGGGGGGTGACCCCAGCCCCAAATCCCCCTTCAGGGGTGACCCCAAACCCAAAATTCCCCCCTGGGGGTGACCCCAGCCCCAAATCCCCATTCAGGGGTGACCCCAGCACCAAATCCCCTGTTGGGGGGTGACCCCAGCCCCAAATCCCCCCTGGGGTGACCCCAAATCCCCCCGGGGGTGACCCCAGCCCCAAATCCCCCTTCAGGGGTGACCCCAAACCCCCCGGGACCCCCCTCACCTGCCGGCAGAGCGGTTCCCAGTAGAAGACGAGGGAGGCGAAGGGATTGGATTCCTGGCGGGAAGAGGATCCCGGAATTCTGGATTTACCCCAAAATTCCTCCTCCCCCAGCCCACAGCAGCTCCAGGAATTCCAGATTTATTGGGATTTATCAGGATTTGTCGGGGTTTATCAGGATTTCTGGGAATTTATCAGGATTTCTGGGGATTTATCAGGATTTATCAGGATTTTGGGGGATTTATCAGGATTTTGGGGGATGTATCAGGATTTATCAGGGTTTATCGGGGTTTATCAGGATTTATCGGGGTTTATCAGGATTTCTGGGGATTTATCAGGATTTATCAGGATTTATCAAGGTTTATCGGGATTTATCAGGAGTTTATCAGGATTTTGGGGGGTTTATCAGGATTTGTTGGGGTTTATCAGGATTTCTGGGGATTTATCAGGATTTATCGGGGTTTATCAGGGTTTATCAGGATTTATCGGGGTTTGTTGGGGTTTATCGGGGTTTATCAGGATTTATCAGGGTTTATCAGTGTTTATTGGGGTTTCAGGGAGTTTTTGGGTGTTTCTGGGCTCCTCACCAGCTCGCGGCCCTTCCTGCTCTCGTAGTTGCTGAAGAAGCGCAGCCCCTCGGGGCCCAGCCCCTTCAGCAGCACCATGCGGGCCGAGGGCCGCCCGTCCCTGCGGGAGTGTCACCTCAGCGTCACCTGTGTCACCTCAGTGTCCCCCCTGTGTCCTCATGACGTCCCTGGTGTCCCCCCCATGTCCCGGTGTCCCCATGGTGTCCCCCCTGTGTGTCCCCGCCGTGTCCCTCTGTGTGTCCCCACAGTGTCCCCTGTATCCCCCCCGTGTCCCACCCCCGGTGTCCCCCCTGTGTCCTCCCTGTGCCCCCCACCCGTGTCCCCACAGTGTCCTCATGGTGTTCTCATGGTGTCCCCAGTGACCCCCTGTGTCCCCCACCGGTGTCCCCGCAGTGTCCCCATGGTGTCACTCTGGTGTCACCCCCTGGTGTCCCAGTGTCCCCTGCAGTGTCCCCAGTCTCTCCCCCGTGTCTCCATAGTGTCCTCGTGGTGTCCCTGGTGCCCCCCTGGTGTCCCCCCTGGTGTCCCCCACTGGTGTCCCCACTGTGTCCCCCCCAACCCGTGTCCCCACGGTGTCCTCGTGGTGTCCCCAGTGTCCCCCCAGTGTCCCCCCCGGTGTCCCGGTGTCCCGGTGTCACCTGCCGCAGGTGGCCAGGCAGGCAGCGTTGGGCTCGGCGATGTCGGGGCACTGCAGCGCCTCCTGCAGCCACGCCCGGAGCTGCTCCAGCGGCTCCAGCGACACCAGGTGGCACTCCTCGAACGCCTGGGGACAGGGACAGGGGTCAGGGACAGGGTCAGGGACAGGGACGGGACAGGGGTCAGGGGACACCAGGTGACACTCCTCGAACGCCTGGGGACAGGGACAGGGCAGGGGTCAGGGGTCAGGGACAGGGACAGGGACAGGGGTCAGGGGTCACAGGGTGGCACTCCTCAAACGCCTGGGGACAGGGACAGGGCAGGGGTCAGGGGTCAGTGGGTGGCACTCCTCGAACGCCTGGAGACAGGGACAGGGGACACCGACAGGGGTCAGGGGTCAGGGGACACCAGCTGGCACTCCTCGAACGCCTGGGGACAGGGACAGGTACAGGGACACGGGTCAGGGGTCAGGGGTCACCGGGTGGCACTCCTCGAACGCCTGGGGACAGGGACAGGGGTCAGGGGTCAGGGGACACCGGCTGGCACTCCTCGAACGCCTGGGGACAGGGACAGGGGTCAGGGGACACCGGGTGGCACTCCTGTCCCCGCTGTCCCTCCGGTATCCCCGCTGTCCCCTCTATGTCCCCGCTGTCCCCCCGGTGTCCCCGTGTCCCCTCTCTATCCCCGTGTCCCCTCTCTGTCCCCTCTCTGTCCCGTGTCCCCCCGCTGTCACCTCGCTGTCCCCCCGGTGTCCCGGTGTCCCGTGTCCCCTGTGTGTCCCCTCTCTGTCCCTCTGTCCCGCTGTCACCTCGCTGTCCCCCCGGTACCGCTTCCGCAGCTGCTCCAGCTCCATGGCGGCCCCGCGGAACCCGCCCCGCGCGGGGAGGGGCGTGGCCAAGCACAGCCAATAGGAAGCGGCACAGCGCTCGCGCCTCCGGAAAAGCCGGCGGCCCATTGGAGGAGAAGGAAGGGGGCGGGGACAAGAGACCCGGAAGTAGTGGTGGGTCCGGAGAGGGGCGCGGGGCTCTTAAAGGGGCCGCGACCCCCGGGGGGGACACGGGGGGACATAGAGGGGACACGGGGACAGCTGGACACGGGGGGACACGCGGGGACACTGGGACGGTGGGGACGGGACCCTTGGGCATGGCTGGGGGGGACTGTGATGAGGGACAGGGGCTGGGAAATGTGGGGACAGGGGGTTGGGGACATTGGGGACGAGGATTTGGGGACAGGGATATTTGGGGACATTGGGGACAGGGATGTGGGGACTTTGGGGACAGGGATTTGGGGATATTGGGGACTTTGGGGACAGGGATTTGGGGACATTGGGAATTTGGGGACATTGGGAATTTGGGGACATTGGGGACAGGGATTTGGGGACATTGGGAACATTGGGGACAGGGATTTGGGGACAGGGGTTTGGGGACATTGGGGACATTGGGGACAGGGATTTGGGGACATTGGGGACTGGGGTTTGGGGACTTTGGGGACAGAGGAATTTGGGGACATTGGGGACAGGGATTTGGGGACAAACCCCCCTCCTGACCCAGCAGCTCACGGGTGGGGAGCAAATTTCCTGCAAAAATTCCTCAAATTTCCATCAACTCCTCCAAATTTCCACCAATTCCTCCAATTTCCATTTTCCATCAATCCCTCCCCATTCTCCCCATTCCCACGAAATTCCCAGAAAATAAGAAAAGCGGGAAAAGAGGCCGGGCTGGCCTCGGTGACTGAGTTTATTTAGCAGGAAAAGCTCCCGGCTGCCCCGGGCACAGCTCAGCAAACGGAACAGATCCTCACATCATCCAGGGAAACGCCCTCAACTACAAAATAAAGTGGATTTTGTTTAATTTAAAAGCTCCAAAGCAATAGAATCTATGATACAATGTACACTGTACACGGGGGGGATGCACACGGGGGGAAAAGGGGGAAAAAGGGGAAAATAAAAGGGGAAAAATGAAAAAAGGGGGAAAATAAAAGGGGGGAAAGGAAAAAAAAGGGGGAAATAAAAGGGGAAAAAAGAAAAAAGGGTGAAAAAAAAGGGGGGAAAGGAAAGAAAAGGGGGAAAATAAAAGGGGAAAAAAAGAAAAAAGGGGGAAATAAAAGGGGAAAAAAGAAAAAGGGGAAAAATAAAGAAAAGGAAAAAAGAAGAGGAAATGGGGGAAAAGAAAAAAGGGGGAAAGAAAAAAGGGGAAAAGAAAAAAGGGGGAAAGAAAGGGAAAAAGAAAAAAGGAGAAAAAGATTAAAAAGGGGGAAAATAGAAAAAAAGGAGGAAAGAGGACAAAATGGGAAAAAGAAAGGGGAAAAAAGGGGGGAAAAGAAAATAAGGGAAAAAATGGAAAAGAAAAAAGGGGGGAAAAGGAAAAAAAAGGGGGAAATAGAAAAAAAATGGGGAAAAAATCGGAGAAAATGGGGGGAAATAGAAAAAAAAGGGGAAAAAAAAAAAGGAAAAAAAGGGATGGAGTCCCAAAATTGCAAATAAAATAAAATAAAAAAAGGGGGAAATGCCAACGTTGCTCGGAAATAAAAATTGGGAGAGAGGGATTGGCCGTGGGGAAGGGGAAAAAAGGGAATTTTGGGAGGGAAGTGGGGATTAAATAGATTAAAAAAGCACTCATGATGCACGGAGGGCGGGAGGGGAGTGTAAGGCAACGATTCCATAGAAAAAAAGGGATTTTTCCAAAGGGGTCATAGATATTTATAGTATTTATAACTTTAAATATAAAGTAGGAATGTGCTCCTGCCCCTCCTCCTGGGGGGCTCTGCGGGGTTTGGGGTACCCCCTAAATCTGGGGGGTCATGGGGGGGGTCTGGGGCACCCCATAAACCTGGGGGGGTCTGGGGGGTTTGGGGGTACCCCCTAAACCTGGGGGGTCACAGGGGGGGCTGTGGGTCACAGGGGGGCCCTGTGGCACCCCATGAGTCTCAGGGGCACCCCTTAAATCTGTGGGGTCACAGAGAGGGTCTGGGGTACCCCATGAGCCTGTGGGGGGGCTGTGGGTCACCCCCCAAACCTGTGGGGTCACAGGGGTCTGTGGGGCACAGGGGGGGCTGTGGGGCACCCCCCAAACCTGTGGGGTTACAGGGGGGCTGTGGGGCACAGGGGGGGCTGTGGGTCACCCCACAAACCTGTGGGGCACAGGGGGGGCTGTGGGTCACCCCCCAAACTTGTGGGGTCACAGGTGGGGCTGTGGGGCACCCCCCAAACCCGTGGGTCACTGGGGTCTGTGAGTCACCCCCAAACCTGTGGGGTTACAGGGGGGGCTGTGGGTCACAGGTGGGGCTGTGGGTCACAGGTGGGGCTGTGGGGCACCCCACAAACCTGTGGGGTCACGGGGGGGCTGTGGGTCACCCCCCAAACCCGTGGGGTTACAGGGAGGCTGTGGGTCACCCCCCAAACCTGTGGGGTCACAGGTGGGGCTGTGGGTCACCGGGGGGTTCTGGGGTACCCCATGAGCCTGTGGGGGGGCTGTGGGGCACCACCCAAACCTGTGGGGTCACAGGTGGGGCTGTGGGTCACAGGTGGGGCTGTGGGGTCACAGGGGGGGCTGTGGGGCACCCCCCAAACCTGTGGGGTCACTGGGGAGCTGTGGGTCACAGGGGGACTGTGTGTCACCCCCAAACCCGGTCCCTCCCCAGCCCCTTTCCGCGCTGTGGGGCCGGTCCCGATGCCGGTCCCGGTCCCGGTGCCGCCCCGGTGCCCCACGGCCGCGCAGTGGGGCCGGGCCCCGCCGGCCCTACAAGTTCTTGGTGACCAGGTGGGTTTTGTAGTGCTTGGTCAGGTGGTCGGAGCGCATGAAGCGTTTCTGGCACTGCGCACACTCGAAGCGTTTGTCACCTGCGGGGACAGGGACGGGGTCAGGGGTCAGGGACTGCGGGGACACAGCCGCTGGCACCCGTGTTTGTCACCTGCGGGGACAGGGACACGGTCAGGGGACAGCGGGGACCTGCGTTTGTCACCTGCGGGGACAGGGACGGGGTCAGGGACAGCAGGGACAGCGGGGACCTACCTTTGTCACCTGCGGGGACGGGGACAGGGTCAGGGACAGCCCCGTTTGGGGTCTCTGCCCTGGGAACAGGGATACCCCAGCCCCATTTGGGGTCTTTGCCCTGGGAATTGGGGTTACCCCATCCCCATTTGGGGTCTCTGCCCTGTGAACTGGGGTTACCCCAGCCCCATTTGGGGTCTCTGCCCTGGGAATTGTGATACCCCAGCCCCATTTGGGGTCTCTGCCCTGGGAACTGGGACATTCCTGGGATATTATCCCAGTCCCGTTTGGGGTCTCTGCCCTGGGAATTGGGGCTACCCCAGCCCCATTTGGGGTCTCTGCCCTGTGAACAGGGACATTCCCGGGATACCCCATCCCCATTTGGGGTCTCTGCCCTGGGAATTTAGGCTACCCCAGCCCCGTTTGGGGTCTCTGCCCCGGGAATTGTGATACCCCATCCCCATTTGGGGTCTCTGCCCTGGGAATTGGGGCTACCCCAGGCCTGTCTGGGGTCTCTGCCCTGGGAACAGTGACATTCCCGGGATACCCCAGCCCTATTTGAGGTCTCTGCCCTGGGAACAGGGATACCCCAGCCCCATTTGGGGGCTCTGCCCTGGGAATTGTGATACCCCATCCCCGTGTGGGGTCTCTGCCCTGGGAACTGGGGCTACCCCAGCCCCATTTGGGGTCTCTGCCCTGGGAACAGGGCTACCCCATCCCCATTTGGGGTCTCTGCCCCCCGCCCAGGGACCCCGGGCTCCCGGACCTGTGTGGGTGCGTGCGTGCCGCTGCAGCTCGTCGGAGCGCGTGAAGCGCTTGCCGCAGAACACCCAGTTGCAGACGAAGGGCCGCTCGCCCGTGTGCAGCCGCACGTGCGCCCGCAGCAGCGACGTCTTGCGGAACGTCCGCCCGCACTCGGGGATGTGGCAGATGTGCTTCTTCTTCCCGGGGTCGCCCGGCCTGCGGGACAGACGGACGGGGTCAGCGGATCCAGAGGGAGAAACCGCTCCGGGTCAGCCCGGGAGAGGCGGATCCCGAGGGAGGAACCGCGCCAAGTTATTCCAGGACAGCTGGATCCAGAGTGACGAACCGAGCCCGGGACAGGCGGATCCCGAGGGAGGAACTGCTCCAGGTCAGCCCGGGAGAGGTGGATCCCGAGGGATGAACCACTCTGAGTTAGCCCAGGACAAGCAGATCCCGAGGGAGGAACTGCTCCAGGTCAGCCCGGGAGAGGCAGATCCCGAGGGATGAACCACTCTGAGTTAGCCCAGGACAGGCGGATCCCGAGGGAGGAACTGCTCCGGGTCAGCCCGGGACAGGCGGGTCCCGAGGCAGAAATCACTCCAAGTTATTCCAGGACAGCTGGATCCAGAGGGATGAACCGCCCTGGGTCAGCCTGGGACAGGAGGGTCCCAAGGGAGGAACTGCTCCAAGTTATTCCTGGACAGGCGGATCCCGAAGGATGAACCGGTCCCAGGACAGGCAGATCCCGAGGGATGAACTGCTCTGGGTTAGCCCGGGAGAGGCAGATCCAGAGGGAGGAACTGCTCCAGGTCAGCCCGGGACAGGCAGATCCCGAGGGATGAACCGCTCTGAGTTAACCCAGGACAGGCGGATCCAGAGGGAGGAACTGCTCTGGGTCAGCCCGGAACAGGCAGGTCCCAAGGCAGAAACCGCTCCAAGTTATTCCAGGACAGGCGGATCCCGAGGGAGGAACCGCTCCCGGGACAGGCAGATCCCGGATTCGAGCGGGATGAGCCGCTCCTGGTTATTCCAAGAGAGGTGGATCCCAAGGGGTGGCCCGGGAGAGGCAGATCCCAGCGGGATGAGCCCCTCCGGATTATTCCGGCAGAGGCGGACCCGGAAAGATGAACCGGGAGAGGTGGATCTGGAGGGAGGAACCGCTCCAGGTTATTCCGACCACTCCGGGTTATTCCGAGAGAGGCGGATCCAGAGGGACAAGCCGCTCCCGGGACAGGCGGATACCAGATCCAGAGGGATGAACCTCTCCAGATTATTCCAGGAGAGGCGGATCCAGAAGGATGAACCAGGAGAGGGGGATCCGGAGGGATGAGCCACGCCCGGGACAGGCAGACCCTTCCCGCCCCCGGCACCCACCGCTTGTCGCCGTCCTTGCAGTTGGGGCAGGTGCAGGCCATCCTCCTCCTCTTCTCGCCGGGCTGGATGTCCCCGGACAGCGCCTGCTCCATCTGCAGCTGGATCTGCGTGGGGCTCAGCCCGCTGATGGTCACGTTGTTGCCGGACACGTTCTGCACCGTCAGCTGCTGCTGGCCTGGGGAGGGAAAAGGAGCGGTCAGGATCCATCCACGCTGCTCCCACCTGACCCTCTTGGAGCAGGGAATATCCCAAATTGATCCCCTCATGCATCACAGCCCCCTTTTGCCGCGTGCCTCTCCCGGTAAGTCCCTTTTTTCTGAATATACTGTGCGGTTTTTCAAAGTTTTCGAAAAAAGTTTTTCGACCCTTTTAGGGGGGCGGGGAAAAAAAAGGCTCAAAAAGAGGAAATAAAAAAAAGAAACTTTGAAAAAACGTGCAATATATTGAGCAAAAAAACGGGACTTACCCCAGCAGCCAGCCTAAGGGCCGCTCCAGGCTCGGGCGTCCCTGGCAGCCGTGACAGGGGCTGGAAAGAAGAAGACGGGGTCAGCGTCAGCAAGCGGGGTCGGGATCGGGATCGGGATCGGGATCGGGATCGGGATTGCTGCTCCCAGCAGGAGGAGGAGGAGGAGGAGGAAGGGAAGAACAAGTGGGGTTTGGCAGCAGAGGAGCACAGGCAGCAGGCAGGGAGGGACGGAGCGAGGGATCCGGCAGGGCAGCGCGAAGCCGAAGGATGGGAGGAGGTGGGAATGTCCTGCTGAGGCTGGCTCAGCTCCTCACACCCCGTGGGCAGCGGGTCCTACCGGTCCCCTCCACGTTAATTGGAACAGCTAATTAATCCAATTCATTCAATCCCCCCCCACACATCACAAAAGGCAATCCTGGGGGATCTGGAATGGGATCAAAGGGAGATGATTCTGCCCTGGAATGGGATCTGGAGTGCGATCCAAAGGAGATGTTCCAGCCCTGGAATGGGATCTGGATGGGATCAAAGGGAAATGTTCCAGGGATGGGATCTGGATGGGATCAAAGGGAGATGTTCCAGCTCTGGAATGGGATCTGGATGGGATCCAAGGGAGATATTCCAGCCCTGGAATGGGATCTGGAATGGGATCAAAGGGAGATGTTCCAGTGATGGGATCTGGATGGGATCCAAGGGAGATATTCCAGCCCTGGAATGGGATCTGGATGGGATCCAAGGGAGATGTTCCAGCCCTGGAATGGGATCTGGATGGGATCCAAGGGAGATGCTCCAGCCCCAGGGAACCTCAGGAGCTTCCTGCAGCTTGGCACGGCCACGTTGGGCAGGCAGCCATCCCTGTCACCCTCAGCTCTCCAGGACGTGCTGGAATCACCCAAAGGACACTTTGGGAAACACTCCTGGCTCGTGGGAGTGACTGCAGAAGGTGCTGACACCGCAGAGCCCCTGTGGGGCAAGAGGGATCCGATCTGATCCGGGGAGATCCCATCCTCGGGAGGATCAGGGAGCTGCCCACTGTCCCTGTCCCCCTCAGGAGCACGAGGGATGTGATTTTATCTGATCCAGAGGGGATTCCATTCCACATTCCCATCTTTGGGAAGCTCAGGGAGCTGCCCACTATTCCTGTCCCCCTCAGGAGCACGAGGGATCTGATCCAATCTGATCTGATCTGTTTCAGGGATCTCCCATCCTCAGGAAGCTCCGTGAGCTGTTCCTTGTCCTTGTTCCCCTCAGGAGCACGAGGGATCTGATTTAATTTGATCCAGAGGGGATTCCATTCCACATTCCCATCTTTGGGAAGCTCCGGGAGCTGCCCACTGTCCCTGTCCCCCTCAGGAGCACGAGGGATCTGGTTTGATCTGATCCAATCTGATCTGCTCTGCTCCAGGGGTGATCCCACTGCCCATCCCCGCCCTCGGGAAGTTCAGTCCGTGTCCCCCTCAGCAGCCTGAGGGATCTGTTTAACTCTGCTCTGCTCCAGGGGTGACCCCACTGCCATCCCCACCCTCGGGAAGCTCACCCCTGGCACCCACCTGCGCTGTTGGTGATGGTGACGGGCACGCCCTGCACCTGCACGCCGTTGATGTTGATGGTCTGCATGGCCTGGGCGGCCGCCGCCAGCTGCGCCGCGCTCAGGCTCAGGACGCCGCCGGCCGGGGCGATCTTGGGCAGCGGCCGCTCCTTGCGCGGGGCCGGCCTGCGCCCGGGGCTGCGCGGCGCGCCGGGGCTGCCGCAGCACGGCCCCGAGGACGAGGAGGACGGGGGCAGCACGGGGATGGACGAGGTGTCCTGCAGCAGCACCGTCTGCAGCTCGCCCGACGGGGTCTTGAAGTACACCTGGAGCACAGGAGGGAACAGTGTCGGGGGGATGAAATGAGAGAAGTCTTATAAATATGATTGCCTGGCAGAAGATTTAGGAAATACAGAGATTGAGGTGGTAACATCTCCTCCTACTCCTCCTACTCCTCCTTTGTTTGTTGTGGGAGTCCAGGGCTTCCCTCTGGCTGCCCTGGGACCCTGGCAGGGGTCAGGAACCCCCCTGGACAGAGCCCCCAGAGACACTGGCTGTGATCTCTGCACATGGAAAAGAGTTTTCAGTCTTACAGGATGAATTACAAGCTCTGAGTGTTTGATATGAGTAATAATTAAGTGTGGCACACCCAATTTTCTCCATCTTCTCCCCTTTGAACCCCTAATCTAGAATCCTAAAATTTTACTTTTGCACCTGAACCCCCAATCTCCAGAGAATCCACTCGGCAGCGCCTGAACCTCCTCCAGACTGGGAATATCTCACAAAACCCTCCAGCTCCCACACCCTGGGCAAGCAGCAGAGCAGAACGAGAGGGAGAAGGCTCCGGGGGAAGCCGTACCTGGGTGGGGGTGGGCTCGGCCGCCTGGATCTGGAAGTTCTGGGAGGATTTCTGGGGCACGGTGGGCAGCGTGGCCGAGGCCGCCTGCACCACGCGCAGCGCCTGCTGCGGGATCTGCACCACCTGCGACTCCTGCTTGGGCTGCACCACCTGCACCTGCTGCACCACTGCCGGCTGCCCCGCGCCGGGGCTCTGCACGATCAGCAGGTTGTTGCCGGCCTGGATGATGTTCTCGGCCGTGGTCTCGATCAGCACCGTCTCCACCTGCTCGGCCACGGCCAGGGCGGCGGGCTGGCTGGGCGATGGGACCTTTTTCCGGGGTTTTTTGCCCGTTTTGGACGGGCTGTCCGCCAGCAGCGGGGGCTGCCCGCCCGCCTCGGCGCTCACCAGGTTGTTGACGGGCAGGGTGAGGGTGACGTTGCCGCCGCCGGGCAGTTTGACCACACCACCGCCCGTCGCCGCTTTCTGCGCCGGGGCCGGTTTGATGGGCACGGGCTTGTGCGAGGAGGAAGAGGAGGGAGCCAGGATGGCCTGGCTGGTGCCCGGGATGATCTGGATCTGGTTAGGCTGCACCTGGATGGTCTGAGCCGTGCCGGGCTGCAGCTGCGGCACCGCCTGGTACTGCACGCTGGAGGAGGAGGATGAGGAGGACGAAGACGAGGAGGAACGCGCGGTTTTGTTGAGCACGGCCGCGTTCTGGATGGCGAAAACCAGCTGCCCGCCGGCCAGGGAGGCGCCCAGCTGGGAGCCCTGGATCTGTAAGAGGCTCCCCTTGGAGGACAGGATGCCGATGCCGGCCTTGGCCGCGCCCAGGGGCAGCGGGGCGGGTTTGATGGGCACCAGCTTGCGCGGGGCGGGCTGCGGAGGCGCCGGCGGCGCCGCGGCCGCTTCCACGGCCGGGGGACCGATCTTGCTGCATGTGGCGGCCAGCAGGGCCAGCGGGGAGGGCTGCGAGTCCTGCGGAGAGAGGAAAGTCAGTGAGTCAGTGCCAGCCCGGCAGGAGCAGCTCTGCTCTTCTCAGCCTTAAAAATATTACCACTTTTCTACAATTTTTGGGGTTTTTTTGGCGTTTTTTGTTTGCTTTTTTGGGGTTTTTTTGTTTGGTTAGTTTTTTTAAAATTTTGTTTGGTTTTTCCCATGGGTTTTTCTGGTTGGTTTTTTTTGGTTTGTTTTTTTTTTTTTTTCAATTTTTCTTGGGCTTTTTTTTTTCTATTTTTCTTGGGGTTTTTTGCGGTTTTTCTTGGGGTTTTTTTGCGATTTTTCTTGGGTTTTTTGCATTTTTTCTTAGGTTTTTTGCAGTTTTTCTTGTATTTTTTTGCAGTTTTTCTTGTATTTTTTTGCGGTTTTAGTTGGGGTTTTTTTGCGTTTTTTCTTGGATTTTTTTGCAGTTTTTCTTAGGTTTTTTGCAGTTTTTCTTGGGGTTTTTTTTGTGGTTTTACTTGGGGTTTTTTTTTCAGTTTTTCTTGTATTTTTTTGCGGTTTTACTTGGGTTTTTTTGTGGTTTTTCTTGGGGTTTTTTTGCGGTATTTCTTTGATTTTTTGGTGTTTTTTTTTTTGTGGTTTTTTTTTTTTTTAAACTTCAGAAGATACCAGAAAATACCAGTTTTATTTAAACATCTGGTATTTATAGAATTCCAGAAGTGACCATGGATTGGAGGATGGAATTAGCACCTCTCCAACTACACTGGTCCAAAGATCAATCAATCAATCAATTAATCAATGAATCAATCATTTCTCTCCACCCATACAGAAACATGGAAACTATTCTATTTCTACATAAAATGTGTAAAAACACTGATTCTCAAATACATAAACGTTATCAGAAAGCTGAAGGAGTTTTATAAGAACTTTAAAACTTAAAAAAAAAAAACTATAAAAGAAAACGTAAGACTTTTAAAATCAAAACAACAGAGCTCATGAGACAGCCTTAGACCCACCCTTAAAACCACCCTAAAGCTTAGAACCACCCTTGAACCACCCTTAAACCACCCTAAAGCTTAGAACCACCCTTAAACCATCCTAAAGCTTAGAACCACCCTTAGCACCATCCTAAAGCTTAAAACCATCCTTAGCGCCATCCTAAAGCTTAGAACCATCCTTTAAACCACCCTAAAGCTTAGAACCACCGTTAAACTATCCTAAAGCTTAGAACTATCCTTAGAACCACCCTTAGAACCACCCCAAAGCTTAGAACCATCGTTAAAACCTTCCTTAAAAACATCCTAAAGGTTAAAACCATCCTTAAAATCACCCTAAAGCTTAGAACCACCCTTAGAACCATCCTAAAGCTTAGAATCATCATTAAAATAATTATAAAGCTTAGAACCATCCTTAAAGCCATCCTAAAGCTTAGAACCATTGTTAAAAACATCCTTAAAATCATCCTAAAGCTTAAAACCATCCTTAAAATCACCCTAAAGCTTAGAACCGTCCTAAAGCTTAGAAGCACCCTTAGAACCATCCTAAAGTTTAAAACCACCCTTAGAACCACCCTTAAAACCATCCTAAAGCTTAGAACACCCTTCAAATCTTCCTAAATGTTAGAACCATCCTTAAAGTCATGCTAAAGCTTAAAACCATCCTAAAGCTTAGAACCACCCTTAGAACCATCCCAAAGCTTAAAACCATCCTTTAAACCACCCTTAGAACCACCCTAAAGCTTAAAACCATCCTTAGAACCACCCCAAAGCTTAGAACCATCCTCTAAACCACCCTTAGAACCACCCCAAAGCTTAGAATCACCCTTAGAACCACCCCAAAGCTTAGAACCACCCTCAGAACCACCCCAAAGCCGTGTACATCCCGAAATCTCCCCGGGATTTCCCGGGGACCGTGGCAAACAGCCCAAAGCCCAGACTGGGAACGGTGCGGCCCCTCGGCGGGGAGGAAGACCCCCGGGAGGAAGGAAGGAAGGAGCCCCGGGGTTTTCCTTGGGGTTTTCCTCGGGATTTTCCTCTGCTCCGGGGCTCACCTGCGCGGAGGCGGCGGCGGGCTGCAGGTACTCGCTGGGGCTGACGGCGGCCGTGGCAGCCATGCTGTGCCTGCAGCTGTGGGACAGGGGTCAGGGGTCAGGGGTCAGGGGTCAGCCCCACATCCCCGGGGATTTGGGGGATCTGTCCCCCAGACCCGCCCCACCTCACACTCCCCACCCTCCCCACAGTTTGGGTCTCTGCTGCCTTCCCCAGGGAATCCCAAGCAGAATTCCCGGGTTTCTGTTGTTTTGCTGGATTCCAGCACAAGCCTTGGGAGTTTTTGGGAGTCCTTCAAGTCCTGGCTCGAAGGAGAAGCCCACCCACCAAAGCTCAGCTGGGATGTGGGTGTGCCCAGAGAGCCGAAATAGTCCCAGTTCCAGAAAAATCTCCACGGTTCCAACCCCAAATATTCCCATTCCCAGCCTGAAATCTTCCTATTTCCACACTGAAATATTCCCAGTTCCAGCCCCAAATCTCCCCAGTTCCAGCCTGAAATATTCCCATTTCCAGCCTGAAATATTCCCAGTTCCAACCCCAAATCTTCCTGTTTCCACCCTGAAATATTCCCATTCCCACCCTGAAATATTCCCATTTTCAGCCTGAAATATTCCCAGCCCTAAATCTTCCCAGTTCCAGAAAAACAACCCGAATCCCATCAGGGAACTGAATCCCATCAAAGAAATTCGGGAACCATCCCAAATCCCATTGGGGAAATGAATCCCATGAGGGAAATTTGGGAACCATCCCGAATCCCACCAGGGGAATGAATCCCAAAGAAATGAATCCCACCAGGAAACACAGCCCAGATCCCATCAGGGAAATGAATCTCATGAGGGGAATTTGGCCCTCCCTAAACTCCCCCAAACCTCAAACCCTCCCAAACCCCCTCAAATCCTCCCCAAATTTACCCAAACCCCCTCAAATCCCCCCAAACCTCCCTAAACCCCCCCAAACCCCCCTCAAACACCCCCAAACCTCCTCAAATTCCCTCTAAATTTCCCCAAACCCCCTCAAACCCCCCCAAACCCAAAACCCACCCCAAACCTCCCTAAATCCCCCCAAACCCCCCTCAAACACCCCCAAATCCCCCCAAACCCCCCTCAAACACCCCCAAACCTCCTCAAATCCCCCCTAAATTTCCCCAAACCCAAAACCCGCCCCAAACCTTCCTAAATCCCCCCAAACCCCCTCAAACACCCCCAAACCCCCTCAAATCCCCCCTAAATTTCCCCAAACCCAAAACCCACCCCAAACCTCCCTAAATCCCCCCAAACCCCCTCAAATCCCCCCCCCGCCGGTCCCGGGGGGGGCGGGTCCCAAAGGCCGGGCCCGCCCCCGACCGGGCCCCGCTGCCGGAAGCGCGGCCCGCCCTGCGGGCGCTGGCGGGAGGGCGGCTCGGGGAGGCCGCTCCCGCCTGGGCGGCCCCGCGGCGGCCGCGGCCCGGCCCCGCCGGCCCCGCACTGACCGGCCGGCGGCGGCGGCGGCTCCCACCGCTCACGGCGCCATCTTCCTCCGCCCGGCACCGCCCTGCTGCGCCCGCCCCCTGGAGGCGTTCGCACCAATCGCCGAGCAGGTTCTTTGAGAGCTGGCCAATAGCCGGTGAGATGGGGGAGAAACGGCCAATCAGAGGTGGGGTGAAGGTTGATTGGCAGCTGCGCTGAGCGGTGAGGATGGTGATGGAGGGGTGGTTACGCCAATGGGCGCGGAGATCTGAGGTGATGGACGGCAGCGGTGAGCCAATAAAAGCGCAGATATCTGATTGACAGCGCAGACAGCCAATGGGCGCAAGCCCATCCGCTGTTTGATTGACAGCCCGTCAAAGCGGGGCGGACATCCTCGTGGGCGGGACCCACCCAAAGCACGCCTTGTGATTGGTCAAAGACTTTGATCGACAGCTCAGACAAGCAATGGGAGGCGCGAGGCGCACGAGCTGCGCCCGTGATTGGCGGAGGGGGAGCCGGAGCGGTTGGAGGCGGATGACGTCACGCGGGTGGGGAGTCCCGGGGATCCCCCCTCGCCCCCCACCCGTTAACGGCTCCTCGGGCGGGGGTCGGGGGTTCCCTTTGGAATTTGGGGGCTCCCTTTGGAATTTGGGGGCTCCCTGTGGATTTTGGGGGCTCCCTGTGGAACTGGAGGTCCCTGAGGAATTGGGGGGCCCCGAGGAATTGGGGGGTCCCTGAGGATTTTGGGGTCTGCGGAATTTGGGGGGTCCCTGCGGAATTTGGGGGGTCCCTGGGGAATTTGGGGTTCCCCCCGTCCCCCCCCGGGATAGGGGTCCCCAGCGCCCTGTCAGAGTTGGGGTGCTTGTGCAGACCGGGGTGCCTGGAGGGATTGGGGGTGTCCTGTTCCCTTGTAGGGTTCGGGGGTCTCCAGCAGAGGTTGGGGTGCCCAGTGGGGTCCCCAAATCCCTCACTGATTTTGGGGTTCCCTGAGAGGATGGGGATCCCAAATCTTCTCACAGATTTTGGGGTCCCCAAAAGCGATGGGGGTCCCCAATCCCCTCCAGATTTCGGGGTCCCCGAAATCCATGGGGATCCCCAATCCCATCACAGATTTTGGGGTCCCGAAAAGCAATGGGGATCCCAAATCCCTGACTGATTTCGGGGTCCCCAAAGCGATGGGGACCCCCCAATCTTCTCACAGATTTTGGGGTTCCCTGAGAGGATGGAACTCCCCAATCCCCACACTGATTTTGGGCTCCCCAAAACCCATGGGAGTCTTTGACCCTCCCCACTCCCCCCAGCCCGGGGGGTGCCCGGTGGTGCTCGGGGGTACCCGGGGGTGCCCGGTGGGTGCCCGGGGGTGCTCGGGGTTGCCCGGGGGTGCTCGGGGGGTGCTCGGGGATGCCCGGTGGGTGCCCGGGGGTGCTCGGGGATGCCCGTCGGTGCCCGGTGGGTGCCCGGGGCTGCCCGGCTGGCTGCAGCCCCCCCGGGCCCGGCAGCTCCCTCCCGCTGGAGCCAAATAATTGCCGGTGCTTTGTTGTGCCGCGTCTGTGGCCGCGGGGCCTCCATTTGTGGGGAGCTGCTGCGGCGGGAGCCTCCCGCTGCCATCCCCGCCCCGCTTACTCACCCACCCGGCACCGCCCCGCACCCCGAAATCCGCCCCGGCACCGCCCCGAACCCCGAAATCCACTCCGAAATCCACCCCCAGCTCCCCCCGGCCCCGCACCCCAAAATCCACCCCCAAAATCCACCCCCACCCCCACCTCCCCCCCGCCCTGCACCCCATAATCCACCCCCGGCCCCACACCCCAAAATCCACTCCCGAAATCCACCCCGGCTCCGCACCCCAAAATCCACCCCGAGCTCTCCCCAGCCCAGTGGCCTCATCCCTGTCCCTGTCCCCAGCACAGCCCGGTGTCCCTGTCCCTGTCCCCGTCCCTGTCCCATCCCCATCCCTGTCCCTGTCCCTGTCCCTGTCCCTGTCCCATCCCTCTCCCCTGTCCCCTGTCCCTGTCCCTGTCCCTGTCCCTGTCCCATCCCCATCCCTGTCCCTGTCCCTGTCCCTGTCCTGTCCCATCCCTGTCCCTTTCCCTTGTCCTTGTCCTTTCCCTGTTCCTGTCCCCAGCACAGTCCGGTGTCCTTGTCCCCGTTCCTGTCGCCGTTCCTGTCCCTGTCCCTGTCCCTGTCCCTGTCCCTGTCCCTGTCCCTGTCCCATCCCTGTCCCTGTCCCCGCTGTCCCCGCTGTCCCCGCTGTCCCCGCTGTCCCTGTCCCTGTCCCCGCTGTCGCCGCTCCCCGCCCCGATCCCCTCAGGTTCCCCGGGCCGTGACTCCCAGCGGGTCCGGCCGGGCGCGATACGGCAGCGCGATTAGCGCGGGGCTAATTAAAACCCCAATTAAAATCGCCCCCGGAGCCTCCGCCGGGGCCGAGTCCCGACAGCGGCTCCCGCTGCGCGGAGGAAACGCCGCCCGGGGCGCGCCGTGACCGGGCGCGATAATCGCGATAGAGATCTCCGCCGGGCTGGCGGGCGGCCCTGGCCCGGGGCAGCGCTGGGCAGCGCCGTGCCAGCGGTGCCAGCGGTGCCAGCAGTGCCAACCGTGACAGCGGTGCCAACCGTGCCAGCTGTGCCAGTCGTGACAGCCGTTACAGCCGTGACAGCAGTGCCAGCGGTGCCAGGGGTGACAGCAGTGCCAACCGTGCCATCAGTGCCAGCTGTGCCAGAAGTGACAGCCGTGCCAGCGGTTCCAGCGGTGCCAGGGGTGACAGCAGTGCCAGGGGTGACAGCGGTGCCATCGGTGCCAACCGTGCCAACCGTGCCAGCTGTGACAGCCGTGACAGCCGCGACAGCCGTGCCAGCGGTGCCAGCTGTGCCAGCGGTGCCAACCGTGCCAGCGGTGCCAGCGGTAACAGCCGTGACAGCGGTTCCAGCGGTGCCAATCGTGTCAGCAGTGCCAGTGGTGCCAACCGTGCCAGCGGTTCCAGCGGTGCCAGCCGTGACAGCCGTGCCAACCGTGCCAGCGGTGCCCCGGGCGCGGTGGCTGGCACGGGTCTCCGTCCTTGTCCCCAGCTGCGCCTTGTGGGGGCACAGCTGGAGGGCAGGGAGGGGCTGTGACACCCCCATGTTGGCTGTGACACCCCCGTGGTGGCAGTGATACCCCCGTGGGGACTGTGACACCCCCGTGGTGGCTGTAAAACCCCCCGTGGGACCGTGCCACCCCCGTGGGGACTGTCACACCCTTGGGGGGCAGTGAAACCCCCGTGGGGACCGTGACACCCCCGTGGGGGCTGTGACACCCCCCCCCCAGGACCGCGACCACCCCGCAGGGCTGTCCCCACCAGTGCCACCACCATCCCTCCCTCACCTGGCATTGTCCCCACCGTGCCACCTCCAGCAGTGCCGGGGTCCCCCCCAGGCTCAGCAGCTTCAATGTCACCCCGGCGTCACCCCCGGGGCCGTCTGGGCGTGGGGCCCCCCAAAACCCGCGGGGAGCACCCGGCGGTTCCGGCTGTGCCCGTCTGAGGCCACCCCCGGGCTGTCCCCTCGGCTGGGGCGACCCAGACGTCGCAGCCCCGTGGCAGCCGCGGCAGAGCCCCCCCGGGGCACCCCGAGTGCGGGATCCGCACCCACGCGCGTGGGAGGGCGCGCAGGGACGTGCTCGGGGACAGGGACGGGCTGAGAGTCGCGCTGTCACCCCCCACCCCACGGTGTGACACGGGGACGGGGACAGCGACACGGCCGCGCTGCCCTCCCCGGTTCCTTCGGTGGCCCCGGGGGAACCGGGAGCGCTCGGTGCGCTCGGTGCGCTCGGTGCGCTCGGTCCGGGGCTGGCGGGGGCCGGGGTGTCCCTTTGTCCCTTCGGCGTCCCCCGGGGGACATCGCTGGGCCGCTGTTCTCCGGCCACCTGCGGCTGCGGGGACCGCCAGGTGACCGCGCTGCTCCGTCCCTCTGTCCCTTCGTCCCTCTGTCCTCTGTCCCTTCACCCCTCTGTCCCTCTGTCCCCCTGTCCCTTCATCCCTCTGTCCCTCTGTCCCCTCTGTCCCTCTGTCCCCCTGTCCCCTCTGTCCCCTCATCCCCACCCCCATTTTTCTGGGGAGCACCGACCCCTCCTGTCCCTGTCCCCACCCCGAACCCCCCTCGCTCCCCCCTCCCCGGATCACTCGGAGGGATTGGAGGCATTTGCCTCTTGCCTCATAATTTATGCAAATGAGCTGTGTAATTAGCAGTAATTTCAAGGCACGGCTCGGGGTTTCAGACATTCGGTGGTGAGAGGAGATCCCCCCTGGGATGCGCCGCCATTCCCTGCCCCGGGTGGTCCCAGCGCTGCTTGGGGGGGCTCCAGGAGCCCCCAGACCCCAAATCCTGCTCCCCCCGGTGCTCCCAGTGCTCCCAGTGCTCCCAGTGCTCCCAGTCCCCCCAGTGCTCCCAGTATCCCCAGTTCTCCCAGTGCTCCCAGTGCTCCCAGTCCCCCCAGTGTTCCCAGTCCCCCCAGTGCTCCCAGTCCCCCCAGTGCTCCCAGTCCCCCCAGTGCTCCCAGTGCTCCCAGTGCTCCCAGTCCCCCCAGTGCTCCCAGTATCCCCAGTGCTCCCAGTGCTCCCAGTGCTCCCAGCCCCCCCAGTCCCCCCAGTGCTCCCAGTGTTCCCAGTGTTCCCAGTGTTCCCAGTGCTCCCAGTGCTCCCAGTGCTCCCAGTCCCCCCAGTCCCCCCAGTGCTCCCAGTGCTCCCAGTGCTCCCCAGTCCCCCCAGCCCCCCAGTCCTGTGCCACAGCCTCACGCTGCTCCCAGCCTCATCCCCGTGTCCCCATCCCAATGTCCCCATTCCCGGTGTCCCCATCCCAGTGTCCCCATCCCCGTGTCCCCATCCCCGGTGTCCCTACTTCAGTGTCCCCATTCCCGTGTCCCCATCCCCAGGTCCCAATTCCCGTGTCCCCACTTCAGTGTCCCCATTCCCGTGTCCCCATCCCCAGGTCCCAATTCCCGTGTCCCCACTTCAGTGTCCCCATCCCGGTGTCCCCATCCCCGTGTCCCCATCCCCAGGTCCCAGTTCCCGTGTCCCCATTCCCAGTATCCCCATCCCGGTGTCCCCATTCCCAATGTCCCCATCACAATGTCCCCATCCCCGTGTCCCCATCCCTGTGTCCCCATCCCCGTGTCCCCATCCCCAATGTCCCCATCCCCCGTGTCCCCATCCCTGTGTCCCCATTCCCGGTGTCCCCATCCCCGTGTCCCCATTCCCGCTGTCCCCACTCCAATGTCCCCACCCCGGTGCCCCCATTCCCGGTGCCCCCATTCCCGGTGTCCCCATCCCAGTATCCCCATCCCAGTGTCCCCATCCCCAATGTCCCCACTCCAATGTCCCCATCCCCAATGTCCCCATCCCGGTGTCCCATCCCCAGTGTCCCCACCCGGTGTCCCCCGGGCCGCCCCTCCCGGGGCTCAGCGCACGAGGCCGCCGCGTTTCGGTGGCGGCGGCGGCGGCGGCGGAGCCGTCCCGGGCGGGATGATGAAAACCGGGAGAGTTTTCCCCGGGGCCAGGGAGGAGCTCCCGGCTCCCTCCGCCCGGCCGGGCTCCCAGCGCCAGCCGCGCTCCCACCGCCGCCTTTTCCCGTGGCATTCGGGGACCGGGGGGTCCCACCGGGGTCCCCACGGCGCTGCGGTGGCCGCCGGGCGGGGCGGGGGGTGGAAATGGGGACACGGAGGTGATGGAGCGGCTCCGCGGTGTTGTCACCCGCGGTTTGTCCCTCCCGCCAGCCTCGTGGGGGGACACGGGGGACAGGGGGGTTGGACACCCCCGGTGACCCTGTCCCCGCGGTTTTGTGTCACCCCAAATCCACCGCTGGGTCCTGTGCGCCGCTCCCTCCCGCCGGCCCTGACCCCCAAATTGTCCCACCCGCGTCCCACTGAGCCCACGGCACAGCACCGAGGCGCCACGGGGGTCACTGAGCCCCACGGGGACAGGCGACACCCCTGCGGGCAGGAGGAGGGGGCGGCCACCCCCGCGTGTCACCCCTTGGTGCGGGGACAACTCCGGGGGTGGCAGGAGGAGGGGACGGCCACCCGCGTGTCACCCCTTGGTGCGGGGACAATCCGAGGGTCCCCGTGTGGGTGTCAGGAGGAGGGGGCGCCCACCCGCGTGTCACCAACCGGCGAGGGGGGACAGCTGCGGTCCCGGGTGGGGGTGGGGACCCAAGGGACGCCCGGGGGTCTCCGGGGAGCGGGGGGGCGGCGGGAGGAGGCGGCCACGGGCGCGGGAGGGAGGCGGTTGTTGCTTTCTTCTTTAATTACCGCCCTGTTTGCGGTGTCTGCTGCGAACTTCCCGTCCCCTCCCTCCGCTTTCATCCGCCGGATCCTGGGACCGGAGCCGGCTCCTGTCAAGCGGCGGGGCCGCGGCTCTGCCTCCAAGGGTTAAAATCACCGGGCCGGGGGTGGAGCCGGGCGGGAGGGCGGAGGGAAGAGCCGGCACCGGGCTGGGACCCGGCCATTCCTGCTCGCCCGGCCCGGTGGGTGCCCCGTCCCTGCGGAGCCGCGCGGGTCCCTCGCGGTCCCCTCGGGAAGCAGCGCCCGCGCCCCGCCGATGAGGACGGACCCGCCGGGACCTCGCTGCCGCTAGACCCGTACGTACCCCCCCGGTGGGTGCTACCGGCCGCGGGATGGCACCCCCGGGATGCTCCCGGGGACGCGGCTCCGCGCTGACCGACGGCAAGTCGTTGCTCGCCACCCCGGCGCGTCCGCTGGCCACCGAGCCCCGGGGCTCCCGGCCCCGCCACCTCCCGGGACGCCGCGCGGTGTCCCCTCGCTCCGATTTCCCCTCGCGACCGCGACTCTTCCCGTGGCTCTGAGACCCCTCCCGCGGTACCGAGTCCGGAGCCCCCCGCCGCCACCGGTGCGGCGCCGTCCCCCTCCGGGAACATCCCCGGGGCAGCGCTGCCGTGGGTCTGCCGGGGGGGGACAATCCCCAACCCACCGCACCCCCCGACCCCGCAGAGCCCCCCCGGGACTCGCGGCGTCCCCCCAAACCCGCGGCATCCCCCGCCGCCTCCCCCGTGTTTCCCCGTCGGGGCTCCCGGTGCTGGGGGGCAGCGCCGGTCCCGCCGCGGGGCGAGGCACCGGCGGAGCCGAGAGACGGGGCCGGGCGGCTCTGCCCAGCCCGGGCCGTGACTCACGGGACGCTTCACCCGCCGCTGCCTCAGTTTCCCTGCGGTGAAATGGCCAACGCGTCTCTGAGCCCCGCCAGGGAGGGAGGGAGGGAGGGAGGGAGGACGCTGGGGGCCCCTGGGGATTTTTGTCACCATTCCCGGGTGGAAAAACGTCCCGGGAGCTCCGTGGCGGGCGGAGGCAGGCCCGGGCAGGGGGGGTCTCCCAGCGCTCCCCCCCCAATCCCGGTGGTGGCCCCGGTTTGGAGCTGGTACGGGAGGCGGGGTGGGGATGGTGCCGCTGGTCACGGTGGGGCTGCACCGGGGGGTCGGTGGGACCCCCGAAACGGGGGGGATCGCTGGGATTGGGGTGTCCGGGAGAGCCCCGTGCGGCACCTGACGGGGTGGGAGCGACCCCCGGCCGCGCGGAGGGTCCCCCGCACCTCCCGTGGGGGTTAGGGGGGTTGGGGGGCACCCCCAGATCTGGGGGGCCTATCCGTGCCCTATCCCCCCCCCAGCCCCGTGACGGGCACCGCGGCGCTTTGGGGGTCCGACCCCAATTTGGGGAGCAGTTTGGGGGGCTCGGGACCCCACCGAGCAGCACCGCGGGGGGAGCGATGCACCCCAGCCCCTTGTGACCCCACCGGTGTCCCCGGGAGGAGGGGACAGTCCCCGGGAGGGCGTCCCCAGGGTTGGGGTGGGCAGAGCTGAGCCTCCACGGGGGGCAGGACCCCAAAATCTGCTCAGCTGCCAGGCGGGGGGCTCACCCTGCCGGCAGCTCGAGGCCGAGCCCCCACCTGCACCCACAGGTACCGGGGGGTCCCATAAGGGCGTTTTGGGACCCCCCAAATTCCCACCCCGATTTTTGGGGTCCCCCTGCCTTCCTGGGCCACACCTGGCAGGGGAAATCGGGGTCCCCGCGCAGCCGAGGGGGCTCCAAGCACTGTGGGGACCCTGAAATCACAGCCCTGGCATCGGGGGGCGCTGGGGGTCCCTCAGGGGATCCCCCACCCCAAATCTTCCAGCACCCCCTGAGGGTCTGTCCCTGTCCCCCGCGGGCTGGGGGAGCAGCGTGGGGGTGGCGGGGACAGGGGGATGGTGACGGGAGCGGCCGGGGGTGCCGGGGGGGTTTTGGGGTGGGGGTCTCGGCCGCCCCTCGCCGCGGGGAACCGGGGGGCGGTACCGGTGGCGGGAGCCGGTGGCGGCAGGTGGATTTCGACACCGGGGTGGGGCCCGTCCCCGGCCCCGTGGGGTTTGCGCGGCTCCCGCTGAGTCACGGCCGCCCTGCCGGGAGCCCGCCGGTGCCCGGGGGTCTGCGGGTGCCCCGGGGGTGTCCCGGGGGTGCCCCGGGGCCGCGGGCCAAGCCCAGCCCGGCTTCAAAGCGCTGCCGGGGGCTCTGCCCGCGGTGCCGCTGCCTCATCCCGCTGCCACCCAGCCCGGGGGTGCAGCCCCCCAAAAAACAGCCCGAGGGCTCCCGGCCGGGCCCCGGCCTGGGGCGGGAGCAGAGGGGCGATGCTTTCCCAGCCCGGCTGCCATGCGGGACAGACAGGTTGGCCTCGTGGGTGCCGTGTCCCCCCCGTGGGTGCCGTGTCCCCCCCGTGGGTGCCGTGTCCCTCCCGTGGGTGCCGTGTCCCCCCTGTGGGTGCCGTGTTCCCCTCGTGGGTGCCGTGCTCCCCTTGTGGGCGCCGTGTCCCCCCGTGGGTGCCGTGTCCCCCCCGTGGGTGCCGTGTCCCCCCTGTGGGTGCCGTGTCCCCCGTGGGTGCCGTGTCCCCTCCATGGGGATGCCACCTACGTCCCCTTGGGGACCCGGGCAGAGTTGGGGTCGCAGTCGGGGAGGTGACCAAGCGGATGTTGGAGGTTTCCTCCGATTTTGGAATCGGGCGCTGCGGACGTGACCCACCGGCACCGGGGGCTGGCACAGGGTCCTCAGGGGGCGGGGACGGGGGTAAGGGGTGCCCCCCCAAACCGGTGCCACCATCCCGGTGTCACAGCGGTGTCGCAGAGCAGCGCAACCTCCTCGCTGGGGGCTCAGCTGCCGGTGCCGGTGCCGGTGCGCGCAGGACGGGGGGTGCAGAGCTGCGCCCCCCGCTCCTCTCACCGCTCTTTTCCCCCTCCCCGCCCGCCCCGCGCGGCCCCGCAGGTCCGTGCGCGCCGCCGCCCCGCGATGCTGACGGCGGTCTGCGGCTCCCTGGGATCGCAGCCCTCGGACGCGCCCCGCGCCTCCCCGACCCACCTGGACCTGCAGCCGCTGCAGCCCTTCCAGCCCCACGGCCCCGCCGCACCGGGGGCTCCCGACTTCGCCTCGCCGCTGCCGCCGCCGGAGCTGCCGCTGCCGGGGCCCGACGACGCCGCCGCCGCCGCCGCTTTCGCCGCCGCCGCCGCCTACGACCCCCATGGCCCCCCGAGGTTAGAGCTGCCCCCCGACGGCCCCGCCGCCCCCGGAGCCTACGCCAAGCTGCTGCCGGCCGCCCCGGACATGGCGCATCCCTACGAGCCCTGGTTCCGTCCCCCGCACCCCGGAGCCCCCGGCGAGGAAGGCGGAGGCGTCAACTGGTGGGATCTGCACGCCGGTGCCAGCTGGATGGAGCTGCCCCCCGGGCAGGGCGGGGGGCTGCCGGTGCCCGGGCACCCCGGGCTGCCCGCGGGGCTGGGCGGGTACGGCGGGGCCGAGCAGCAGCTCTGCGCGCCCCCCGCCCACCTGCTGCCCCCGCAGCATCTGCTGGCGGCCGAGGGGGTGAAGGCGCTGGAGGGGCCCCCGGAGCCGCGGGGGCCGGAGGGGGAGGCCGGGGGGCGGCCCAAGGGGGCCCGGCGGGCCGTGCCCAGGGGCGGGGGGCAGGCGGCGTGCCGCTGCCCCAACTGCCAGGAGGCGGAGAGGGGGGGCCCGTGCCCCGAGGGTGCCAAGCGCAAGCACCTGCACAACTGCCACATCCCGGGCTGCGGGAAGGCGTACGCCAAGACATCGCACCTGAAAGCGCACCTGCGCTGGCACAGCGGGGACCGGCCCTTCGTCTGCAACTGGCTCTTCTGCGGCAAGCGCTTCACCCGCTCCGACGAGCTCCAGCGGCACCTCCAGACCCACACGGGCGCCAAGAAATTCTCCTGCCCCGTCTGCGGCCGCGTCTTCATGCGCAGCGACCACCTGGGCAAGCACATGAAGACGCACGACGGGGGCAAGGACGGGCCCGAGCCCGAGGGCAAAGGCGGCGGGGACGCGGCGGCGGCCAAGGGAGGCAAGAGGGAAGCGGAGGGGGGCACGGCCGCCCCCCCAAACTGAGCCGCTGAGCCCCGGGGGACGCGGCCGGAGGTGGGGCGGGGGCCGGGGGGAGCCTTCGGGGCCGGTCTCCGGAGGGATTTAGGGCGGGGGTGGGCGCAGGGCTGGCACCTTGTGCCGGGAGCGGCGGCCAGGCCCGGGAACGGCGCCCGGTGGCGCGGCCCCGTCCCCGCCGCCCGTTGGGGAGCGCCGCTGCCGGAGCTGCCCCGCGGCGGTTTCACTTGTCCCGCTCCCGCTCTCCCGCCCCGGTTCTCCCTCCCGCTCCCACCCCCACTCATCCTCCCCCGGCTTCCCAAATATTTTTTTTTTTGTTTTTTTTTTTCGGGAGGCTGCTGGCAGGCGGCGGGGCTGTTTGGGAGGAACATCAATGGGAGCCGAAGGAGCGGGAGCTGCCCGGGCACGTCCAGCCCAAAGGGGAGGAAGGAGAAGGAGAAAGGGAGAGAGGAGAGGAGAGGAGAAACCCGGGAGCCTCCGCTCGGGGAGGGGCGGCCGCAGCCCCCCGGCGCCCTCCCCACGGTCCCCTCAAACCGTGGCACCCCGAGCTCAGCCCCCGCCCGGTGCCAGCCCCGTTCTCCTGCCGCCCACCACCCACGGGCGACACGCGGGGGGGGTGGGGGCTGGCGACATCCCCCTGCCCCACTTGGGGGTGCTGAGCTGGCGGGGGTCCCCCCACCCCTTGGAGCCCCACTTTGGCTGTGGGGCTTGAGGATGTGAAACCCATTTTTGGCCTGAATCGTGGCTAAAACGGGGAAAAGCCGGGAGGGGGGGCAAAAAAACCCCAAAAAAAGAGAATTCCTGCGTGAACGTGAGCCGTGGGGAGCTCGGGGGGCCGCGGCGGGCGAGCGGAGGGCGGCGGGCGGTTGCCCAAGCGCGCACCTGCAGCTTTCCCACACCCACCGCCGCCGCGGCCCCGGGCGGGAAGCACCGGGGCGGCCGCGGGCCCGGGAGAGCCGGGACGGCCGCATTCCTCCGGCCCGCCACGGCCGCGCTGCCCGCCCCGAGCCCCGAGCCCCCCGCCCCTCCCTGCGGGGCATCCCCCGGCCCCGGGCCAGCTGCCCGTGCCCCCCGTGTCCCCCTCCCGGGGGTCCCGTGTCCCCTCCGTGCATGCTGCCTGTCCCCCCCCGGGATCCCCTAATTCCAGGGAATTCTGCCTGGCCCCCCGTGCATGCTGCCCGTCCCCCCGGGGACCCCAGGCCTGTCCCTTCCCAGGTCCCCGCACCTCCCGGGGACCCCCCGGGCCTTCCCCCAGCAGGGACCCCCGTGGTTTTCCTCCCCTGGGGTCACCCCCTGTCCCCAGGGACCCCGTATCTGTCCCCCACCCCTGGCTGGGGGTCCCTGAATCTCGGCTTTCAGATCTTTTGGGGTCTTACACCCCGATTTTGGCAGAACCCCTCGGACACAGAAGGAGATGCTAAACCCGGGACCTGGGGAGGGGTTTTTTTTTTTGGGGGGGGGGTTCAGTGGCTGCTCAAGGCACCCGGGGGTCCCCCCGGCTGCCCCCCAGCCAACACCAGTTCAAACCAGTTGGGAATCTGGGGAGGGGGGGAGATTTGGGGGGTGCTGACCCCCCGGGCTGCCCAGGCTTGGAGCACCCCGAGGTCGGGGGGGAAGGGGTAGAGGTGAAGTCGAGTGGGGTCCGTGCCCAGAGGGCGCCCCGAGGCCTTCGGTTTTGAGTGTTTTATTATTATTAATTATTAATTATTATTATTATTAATTATTAATTATTATTAATATTATTATTTTATTATTAAGGTGAAGCCAGGCTTTGCCGCTCGGGCAGAGTGGATGTCCCAGGCCGAAGCTGTGGCCGTGGGCTGTGCCGATGGGGAGGGGTCGGACCCCCCAAAGGGTCCCACCCCCGTCCTTGTCCCTGTCCCCTCCCTGTCCCCGTCCCCAGGGGTGCGTGAGGGGCTGGCAGCAGCCCCCCACGCCGTGGGGCAGGGCCGAGCCGTGGGGCTGGGACCCCCCAGCACGAGGTGAAGTCTCGCCTGGGGGGTCCCCAAGGACGTGTCCCCAGCCCCAGCGCGGCCACCGCTGTCCCTCCGCGGGACTCGGGTGACCCGGGCTGTCCGCAGCTCCCGAAGGACGTCCCCGACTCCGGAATTTGCCTTTTCCAGCACAAATTCCCCCTCGGTGTCCCCCAGATGGGATTTCACCTCCCAGAGGGACCCCGGGGGGGGCTCAGGACCCTCCCCAGCGTCCCCCAGTGCGGCACCGACGGGACTTTAGCGGCCGAGCCCGGCCCCAGCAGCATCTGGGGGGGCTCCGACCTTTTGGGGGGCCGCAGGTTGTGGGGGGCCGCACCAGGGGCACCCCACGGGTGGGCTGGGGAGGTCCCACGGCCACGCCGGGCCTCGGGGTTCAGCCTGGGGGGCTGTCCCCGCCTGGCTCGGAACCGGGGGGCTGCCGGGGGGCCCAGGTGCGCTCAGCCCCCCCAGGTGCGCTCAGCCCCCCCAGGTGCGCTCAGCCCCCGCAGCCCCGCGGCTCTGCCTGCCGCGATGGGGCAATGAAGGCGGTAAAACCGGGTGGGGAGGGACGGCGGCCGGGAAACCAGTCCAGCCTGCTGCGGCGTGGGGATCCCGGCCCCGCGCCCCGAACCGCCGCGTCCCCCGCCCGCCCCCGGGGCAGGGAGGGACCGGCCCGGCCGGGGCCCCGGGCTGGGGGCGGCTGCGGCGGGGATGGAGCGGGGCGGCCCCGGGGGTGCCCGGCGAGGGGAGAGTTTGTGCTGAGAAGAGGCTGCGGGGCTGTGGGGTTTGGGTTTTGTACTGGAATAAACGCCGCGTGTTTTCCACGCTCCGGCTCTCCGGCTCCATCCCTGCCGAAGGACGCGGGGCTCCGGCACCCCGAGCCCCAATTTTCCCTGTCAAATGATCCAGGGGTTCGGCAAATCGAGCCCAAATTATCCCTGCCAAGGGGCTCAGGCAGCCCGACCCCAAATCAGCCCTGCCAAGGGGCTCAGGGGTCCAGAATCCCGACCCCAAATCAGCCCTGCCAAGGGGCTCAGGGGTCCAGAATCCCGACCCCAAATCAGCCCTGCCAAGGGGTTCATGGTCTGGGCATGCCGACCCCAAATAATCCCCACCAAGGCTCTCAAGGGTCTGGAATCTCGATCCCAAATTATCCCCACCAAGGGGGACCCAAGGGTCTGGGATCCCGACCCCAAATCATCCCCACCGAGGGGCTCAGGGGTCTGGAATCCCGACCCCAAATTATCCCCACCAAGGGACCCAAGGGTCTGGAATCCTGATTCCAAATAATTTATTTTCAATGGACTCAGGGGTCCTGCATCTTGACCCCAAATCACCCCCACCAAGGGACCCAGGGGTCTGGGATCCCGACCCCAAATCTTTCATTCTAAGGGACCCAGGGGTCTGGGATCCCGACCCCAAATCATCCCCACCAAGGGGCTCAGGGATCTGGAATCCCGACCCCAAATTATCCCCACCAAGGGTCTCAAGGGTCCGGCATCCTGACTCCAAATAATTTATTTTCAATGGACTCAGGGGTCCGGCATCTTGACCCCAAATCAGCCCCACCAAGGGACCCAGAGGTCTGGGATCCCGACCCCAAATCAGCCCCACCGAGGGGCTCAGGACCCCCCCCAGCCTGGCCTGGGCTCCCCAAGGCTTCTCAGGACGGGGACACCGTCCGGGGGCTGCTGCCGTGGGGTGACACGGGCTGGGAGCAGCCGAGCCCCCCACGGGGGTCCCACCGGCAGCCCCGGGCCGGGCAGGGCGCTGCCCGGCAGGTCCGGCCGCATACCGCGGGCCGGGCGGGGCGCTGCCCACGCGGGTGCTGCCCACGGGGGCGCGGGGGTGTCTGCGGGGAGTGCCACCCACGCCGGTGCCGCTCACGGGGGTGCCCACGGGGGGCTCTGACCCACGGGGGGCTGTGACCCACGGGACCCCCGCAGGACACGCCCGGGTCCCCCGTTCCTGATCCACGGGAGGAAATTCGGGACCCCCGTCCCCGGGGTTTTTTGGGAACTTCCCCCCGAGCCACGCGGGTGCCGGGGCCGGTGCCGGTGCCGGTGCCGGTGCCGCTGCCGCCGTGCGGCCTCCGGCCACCGGGCGCCGCCGTCGCACGGCCGGGGCCGGACCGGGCGGGCCGGGGCGGGCCCGGGCAGCGGCGGAGGTGCGGGAGCAGCGGCAGGTCCGTGGGTACGGGAGGGAGTCCCGGTTACCGGGGCTGTGAGGGGGGGGCTCCGGTCGGTGCGGAGCTGCGGGTCCCGGGACGGGGGGTGCCCCCTAAGTCACCCCGCCGTGGGGTCCCCGATGTCCCCCAAGTTTCAGGGACCACGTCAGCCCCAGAGCGACCCTGGGGACACATCCAGGACGGGGACAAGGGGCTGCCACCCCCCTCGGTGCCCCCAGCCCACCCCGCTGTGGGGTCCCGGGTGTCCCCCGGCTCCGAGCACCTCTTCACCCCCCGGCCGCCCCCCAGACTGCCCCGTGCAGCCCCAAAGGGACTCTGGGGACACAGCCGGGCAGGGACAGGGGGCTGACATCCCCTGACCCGGTTTAGGATGGCAGGGCACGGTGCTGTGCCCTCGTCCTGCGACTGCTTCGTGGCACTGCCACCGCACACGGCGTCCCCCGCCGTCATCTTCGGCAAGAACGCGGATCGGCCCCGCGACGAGGTGCAGGAGATCGTCTATGTCCCCGCGGCCACCCACCGCCCTGGGGACAAGGTCCAGGTGAGCCTGCTGGGGCACAGGGGACAAAGGGGACAAAGGGCTCGGGCGTCAGTGCCAGGGCACCCGTGTGTGTGTGTCCCCGCACTGGGTGTGCCAGGTGTCACCTGTGTGTGCCAGGTGTCACCTGTGTGTGCCAGGTGTTATCTCAGTGTGCCAGGTGTCACCTGTGTGTCCCCCCACTGTGTGTGCCAGGGTGGCTGCAGGGACAGAGCCCTGAGCATGCCAGGTGTCACCTCAGTGTGCCAGGTGTCACCTGTGTGTGCCAGGTGTCACCTCAGTGTGCCAGGTGTCACCTGTGTGTCCCCCAGAGCACCTCGGTGTGCCAGGGCGGCTGCAGGGACAGGGCCCTGAGTGTGCCTGGTGTCACCTCGGTGTGCCAGGTGTCACTTGTGTGTGCCAGAGTGGCTGCAGGGACAAAGTGCTCAGCGTGCCAGGTGTCACCCGTGTCCCCCCGTGTCCCGCTGTGTCTCCCTGTGTCCCCCCGTGTCCCCCCGTGTCCCCCCGTGTCCCCCGTGTCCCCCGTGTCCCCGCAGTGCACATACCTGGAGATCGAGCAGGCAGAGCACACCCACGCCGTGGTGCTGAGCCGCCCCGCGTGGCTCTGGGGCGCCGAGATGGGCGCCAACGACTGCGGCGTCTGCGTGGGCAACGAGGGCGTGTGGACCCGCGAGCCCGTGGGCGAGGCCGAGGCGCTGCTGGGCATGGACCTGGTCAGGTGAGGGTGGCCAGGGTGGCGAGGGTGGCGAGGATGAAAACAGCCCCGTGTCCCCACGCTGTGCCAGCCCCCAACACTGTGCCAGCCCCATGCCCACGCTGTGCCAGCCCCCAGCACTCTCTCACACCCTCCTGGCACAGGCTGGGTTTGGAGCGGGGTGGCACGGCCCGGGAGGCCCTGGAGGTGATGACGGCGCTGCTGGAGCGCCACGGCCAAGGCGGGAGCTGCAAGGAGGAGCCGGTGCCCTTCGTGTACCACAACACCTTCCTGCTGGCCGACCGCAGCGAGGCCTGGCTGCTGGAGACCGCCGGGCGCTTCTGGGCGGCACAGCGCATCCGCGGTGAGCGGGCACCGGGCGGGCGGGGGGCACCGAGGGGCCCGGAGCACCCCGAGTGACCCCCGGGCCCGGCTGGTGTGGGGCACTGAGGGGCCCGGGGCGCCCTGAGTGACCCCTGGGCACCGAGGGGCCCGGGGCGCCCCGAGTGACCCCCAGGCCCGGCTGGCACAGAGGGCACTGAGGGGCCCGGAGCACCCCGAGTGACCCCCAGGCCCGGCGGGCGGGGGGCACCGAGGGGTCTGGGGTGCCCCGAGTGACCCCTGGGCCCGGCTGGCGTGGGGCACCGAGGGGCCCGGAGCGCCCCGAGTGACCCCTGGGCACTGGGCGGGCGTGGGGCACCGAGGGGCCCGGGGTGCCCCGAGTGACCCCCGGGCCCCACTGGCACAGAGGGCAGCCGCAACATCTCCAACCAGCTGAGCATCGGCACCGAGATCACGGCCGAGCACCCGGGGCTGCGGGAGCGGGCGCGCAGCCGGGGCTGGTGGAGCGGCAGCGGCCAGTTCAGCTTCGCCCGCGCCTTCTCCCTGCCCGAGCAGCCCCCGCGCATGCAGGCGGCCAGGGCGCGGCTGCACGGGGGCAGGGAGCTGCTGCGGCTGCATGCAGGTGGGGATGGGGATGGGGGGGGACAGGGATGGGGACAGGAATGGGGACAGGGATGGGGATGGGGATGGGACAGGGATGGGGCAGGGATGGGGCTGGCAGTGAGCTGCTGAGGCTGCATGCAGGTGGGGACGGGGATGGGACAGGGATGGGGACAGGGATAGGGACAGGGGGGACAGGGTGGGGACAGGGATGGGGCTGGGATGGGGACAGGGGGGACTGGGATGGGGACAGGAATGGGGACGGGATGGGGACGGGGATGGGGACAGGATGGGGACAGGACAAGGACAGGGATGGGGATGGGGACAGGACAAGGACAGGGATGGGGATGAGGCTGGGATGGGGACAGGGATGGGGACAGGGATGGGGATGGGAACAGAATGGGGACAGGACAAGGACAGGGATGGGGATGGGGACAGGATGGGGACAGGACAAGGACAGGGATGGGGATGAGGACAGGATGGGGACAGGGATGGGGATGGGGACAGGACAAGGACAGGGATGGGGATGGGGACAGGATGGGGACAGGACAAGGACAGGGATGGGGACAGGACAAGGACAGGGATGGGGATGGGAACAGGACGGGGACAGGACAAGGACAGGGATGGGGTTGGGGATGGGGACAGGATGGGGACAGGGATGGGGATGGGGACAGGATGGGGACAGGACAAGGACAGGGATGGGGACAGGATGGGGACAGGACAAGGACAGGGATGGGGATGGGGACAGGATGGGAACAGGACAAGGACAGGGATGGGGATGGGAACAGGATGGGGACAGGACAAGGACAGGGATGGGGATGGGGACAGGACGGGGACAGGATGGGGACAGGGATGGGGCAGGGATGGGGACAGGATGGGGACAGGACAAGGACAGGGATGGGGTTGGGGATGGGGACAGTACAAGGACAGGGATGGGGACAGGACAAGGACAGGGATGGGGTTGGGGACAGGATGGGTTCAGGAAGGAGGATAAGACAGAAACAGGGGTGGGGACAGGACAGGGATGGCGACAGGCATCCCACGGCTCCCCAAGGGCTGCATCTGTGCTGGCACATCCCCAGTTGCTGGGGACAGGCCCTGGGGTGGGGACAGCCACCCGGGGCTCACCCTAAGGTGTCCCCAGGGCCGAGCTGGCAGCGCTGAGGCGGCCCTGCCTGTCCCTGCAGGTCACATCACGGCGGAGACGCTGATGTCCATCCTGCGGGACAAGGGCAGCGGGATCTGCGTGGACGAGGAGGGGTTCCGCACAGCGGGCAGCATGGTGTCCGTGCTGCCCCGCGACCCCGCCCTGCCCTGCGTCCACTTCTTCACCGCCACCCCGGACCCCTCCAGGTGAGGCGGGCGCTGGGACGGGGACGTGGCGCTCCTGGATTCTGCTCCCTCAGCCCAGCTGCTCCTCCAGGTCTGTCTTCAAGCCCTTCGTGTTCGTGGCCGGGATCAAGGCGGCGCCGCAGGTGAGATCCCTCGAGTTCCTGCAGGATCCCGCCAAGCAGATCCCGAGGTTCCAGAGCTCCGTGGATCGGCGGCACGAGCTGTACCGCCGGCATCAGGCGGCGCTGGAGCTCATGGAGCGGGACCGGGTACTGCAGACCCCACAGACCCCACAGATCCCACAGACCCAAAGGTCCCACAGATCCCACAGACCCCACAGACCCCACAGAACCCACAGACCCAAAGGTCCCACAGATCCCACAGATCCTGCAGGTCCCACAGACCCCACAGACCCTGCAGGTCCCACAGACCCCACAGATCCCACAGACCCTACAGATCCCACAGACCCAAAGGTCCCACAGATCCCACAGATCCCACAGATCCTGCAGGTCCCACAGACCTCACAGACCTCACAGACCCCACAGATCCCGCAGACCTTGCAGGTCCCACAGATCCCACAGACCCTGCAGAACCCACAGATCCCACAGATCCCACAGACCCCACAGACCCCACAGATCCCGCAGACCTTGCAGGTCCCACAGATCCCACAGACCCTGCAGATCCCACAGATCCCACATGTCCCACAGACCCCACACACCCTGCAGATCCCACAGATCCCACATGTCCCACAGACCCCACACACCCTGCAGATCCCACAGACCCTGCAGAACCCACAGACCCCACAGATCCCACAGATCTGCAGATCCCACAGACCCTGCAGGTCCCACAGATCCCACAGACCTGCAGAACCCACAGACCCTGCAGGTCCCACAGACCCCACAGAACCCACAGACCCTGCAGGTCCCACAGACCCCACAGACCCCACAGACCCCACAGATCCCACAGACCTTGCAGACCCCACAGATCCCACAGACCCACAGATCTCACTGACCCTTCCCCACCCTGCAATGGGATCACACTCTGAGCTCTGATCCCCCCTGCAATGGGATCACACTCTGATCTCTCTGATCCCACCCGGGCTGGATCCGACCCCCTGAGCTCTGTGACCCCCCGATCCCCCAGGAGCGGGGCCAGCAGCTCCTGGAGGCGCAGCGGGGGCTGGAGGAGCAGGGCCTGCGGGGGATGCGGGAGCTGCTGGAGGGCACCGTGCGCCCCGGCCCCGAGGAGCTGGCCGACCTCTTCCTCGACTGCGTGGAGGCCGAGATGAAGTTCTACCCCTAAACCCCACGCAGGTGGGTGGGTGGGTGGGCTTCCCCCACGGCGTTTGGGTGGGTGGGCTTCCCCCAGGGCGTTTCTCGGGATAGGGAATCACAGAACATTCCAGAGCCCCACCCTGACCCTCCTGACTCCCTGGGGCTCCTCACCGCTGACGAGGCTGTCACTGAGGGTCACTCCTGGGGACGGCTCCTGGGGGCTGTGGGAATTCAGAGTGGGGGTCCAGGCCTGGGGTGCAGCCCCCCCATCCCCCCCTGCCCAGAGGAGCCCCCCAAAATCTCACTCACCCCCACCAGGCTCAGCCATGGCTGCAGGGTCCCTGTCCCCTCCTCAGGGGTGACAGTCTGAGGGGACAGAGGGTGACAAAGCTGTGGGCTGGGGATGTCAGCGGGTTTTCCAACGCTGATCACTTGCTTTTTAAAATTTTAAACGTTTCGTAATAATAAAATAGTTATGAAAATCAAAGTAATAAAATTTAGAGTTAGGACAATTACAAGGCAATGACAAAGCAAAGAATTATGGGGGTCTGGGTGTTTTGGAACACCAACTTTCCAAAAGTATACTTTGTGAACAAAGGAATAACTTTAAAACTAACAGCTTGTTGCATATTCATATATCCCTCATGGTTATGCAGAATTCTATTTAAAACAAGAATTCTGTTGCATGTCAACTATTTCCATTAATCCCCACGGCATCTTTGAGTCTGAGCAAGGCCTGAAGAAATTAAGCTTATTTGGATAAGAGAGGCATAAATTCCTTTTCTTTGGAAGATTTAACTGTTCTTTGAACTGACTATTTCATTCTTAAAAAAAAAAAAACCTCCCCCACATACATTTCAACATTATGTTAGAATCTAAAACTATATTTAACACTCTGCTCAAAAGAATTAATACAGCATCACTTTCTAACATTACACACATAATATTCATTGTAGCATTTGCGAAAAGCCAATCATAAAATGTGCATTTTTCAGAGGGGTCAGGGCTGGGTGGGGCAGAGGGGCTCTGTGTGCTGGGGGGGTGATGGCACAGGAACTGGGGGGAATCAGGGGAGTCAGAGACCCCCGAGATGGGGCTGGGGGGGTCACCAGGACCAGGCCTCACTGGCTGGGGGCTCTCAGAGACCCCCGAGATGGAGCCACAGCAGCGCAGCAGGACCTGGCCCGGCGGGTTTGGAGCTCAGAGACCCCCGGGGAGGCCAGGGGGGCTCACCGGGGCCGGTTTCCCGGGTTTGGGGCTCAGACTGCCTCTCTCTGGGGGCTCCGCGACCCCCGGGCCGGGCTCGCAGCGCGCAGGCCGCGCCCAGGCCGCGCCGTTGCCATGGAGACGGGCGCGCCGGAAGTGCCGCTGCTCCTCCTTCCCAGCAGCCCCTGCGCGCTTCCGGCCAAGATGGCGGCCCTGGGGAGCGGCGGGACGCGGTGGCGGCGGGGTGAGAGACCGGGAACGGGGACGGGAACGGGAACGGGAACGGGAACGGGAACGGGAACGGGACCGGGAACGGGAACGGGGACGGGGACGGGACCGGGAACGGGAACGGGGACGGGGACGGGAATGGGGACGGGGACGGGGACGGGGACGAGAGTGGGAACGGGGTGGAGAATGAGGATGGGAACGGCAATGGGAATGGGAATGGGGGCGTGAGTGGGAATGGGAATGGGAACGGGAATGGGACAGGAACAGGAACGGGAACTGGAATGGGGCTGGGAATGGGAATGGGAGTGGGACCCGACAGGAGTGGGAATGGAAGCGGGAATGGGGATGGGATTGGGAATGGGAATGGGAACGGGAATGGGAATGGGAGTGGGATGGGACAGGAATGGGAGTGGGAATGGGAATGGGAACGGGAACAGGACGGGAATGGGAATGGGAATGGGGCTGGGATGGGAACAGGAATAGGAATGGGAACTGGAATGGGGATGGGAACGGGAATGGGGCTGGGACAGGGACGGGAACGGAACTGGACAGGGACAGGAACTGGGAACAGGAATGGAACGAGTCTGGGCCAGGGGGTTGGACTGGGAACGGGACCGGGCCAGGGACTGAGAGGAGACGGAGCGCGGGGCCATGATCGGGGCCCGGGGGGCGATCGGGAACCGGGACAGGATTGGGAACGGGGCAGTGTCGGGGCCCGGGGGGCGATCAGGAACCGGGACAGGATCGGGACCGGGTCAGGACCGGCGGTGGGGCGGGGCTGGGGCGGGTACCAGCCCCCCTGGCCCTGGCACTGAGCGCTGCCCGCAGCCTGGCTGCCCGCCCTGCAGCTGCTGCGGCGCGGCTCCAAGGCGGTGACGCGGCACTGGAAGGCCGCGCACTTCCAGCGGCAGAAGCTGCTGGCCCTGACCGAGTACCTGCCCCCGCGGCCCGGCCTGGCCCCACACTGCCACCCCCAGCCCGCCCCCCGCGCCCCACGGGTGAGCACGGCACGGCACGGGCAGGGGCACTGCCGGGGGGGGCCTGGGGCTGGGGAGGGGGGTAATGCCATGGGGGATGTGGGGCTGGGGGAGGTGGGTAATGCCATGGTGGGATGTGGGGCTGGGGGAGGTGGGATGTGGGGCTGGGGGAGGGGGGTAATGCCATGGGGGGATGTGGGCTGGGGGAGGTGGGCAGTGCCATGGGGGGTGTGGGGCTGGGGGAGGTGGGCACTGCCAGGGTGGGATGTGGGGTGGCGCTGGGAAACAGGTGAGGCCCCATGTGTGGGATGGCCCGGTCTGTGAGGGCACCGTGAGATCCATGAGAACACTTTGAGATCCATGGGATCACCTCGAGATCCATGGGAACACCTCAAGAACACCTCGAGGTCCATGGGATCACACTGAGATCCATGAGAACACTTTGAGATCCATGGGAACACTTTGAGATCCATGGGAGCATGGCTGTCCCCCTGTCCCCAGGGGTCCCACCCTGTCCCCAAACCCCACACTCCTGTCCCCCCAAGAGGATGGCTACACGTGGGTGCTGTGACCCCAGGGGTCCCAGCCTGTCCCCAAACCCCACACTCCTGTCCCCTGTCCCCCCAGGAGGATGGCTACCTGTGGGTGCTGTGACCCCAGGGCTGTCCCCACACCCCAAACCCTGTCCCCTGTCCCACCAAGAGGAGGGCTACACGTGGGTGCTGTGACCCCAGGGCTGTCCCCAAACCCTGTCCCCAGGAGGAGGGCTACACGCAGGTGCTGTGACCCCAGGGCTGTCCCTGTCCCCAAACCCCAAACCCTGTCCCCTGTCCCCCCAGGAGGAGGGCTACACGTGGGTGCTGTGACCCCAGGGCTGTCCCTGTCCCCAAACCCTGTCCCCTATCCCCACAGGAGGAGGGCTATGCCCGCGTGCTGCGGGCCCAGCTGCAGGACACGCTGCGTGCCAGCCGCATGGTGGCCGTGTGCCAGTACAACTCCATGGCGGAGGAGGACCTGGCCACGCTGCGGCACTTCCTGCGCAGGCACGGCATCCACCTCAAGTTCGTCCTCAACGAGGTGGGGCTGGGCCCCCCACCGGGGCTCGGGGGGTTCTGGGCTATCCCAGGGGTTCTGGGGTGTCCTGGGGGTGTCCTGGGGTGTCCCGAGGGTGTTCTGGGGGTGTCCTGGGGGTTCTGGGGTGTCCTGGGGGTATCCCGGGGGTATCCTGGGGCTATCCTGGGGGTTCTGGGGTGTCCTGGGGATGTCCTGGGGGTATCCCAGGGGTATCCTGGGGTTTCCAGGGCTATCCCGGTGGTTCTGGGGGTATCCCAGGGGTGTCCCAATGTTTCCAGGGGTGTCCAGGTGGTTCCAGAGTATCCCAGTGAGGGTTGTCCCGGTGGTTCCGCGGTGTCCCGCTGGTTCCAGGGTGTCCCAGTGCTCATCCCGGGCTCTCTCCCAGGTGGCCCCGGGGTGTCCCGTTGGTTCCGGGGTGTCCCGGTGTCCCCGCGGTGTCCCGGTGCTGACCCCGGCTCTCTCGCAGGTGGCTCTGGGGTGTCCCGGTGGCCCCGGTGTCCCCGCGGTGTCCCGGCGCTCATCCCCGGCTCTCTCGCAGGTGGCCCGGCCGGTGCTGGCGCAGTCCAAGCTCCGTGCCCTGCTGCCGCTGCTGCTGTGCCGGAACGTGCTGCTGGTGAGCCCCGAGCCGCGGGCCAGGGAGATGCTGCGGCTGCTCAAGGGGGTGCCGCAGCTCGTGCTGCTGGGTGAGACCCCAAACCCTGACCCCCGGGGCTGGGAGTGGGGCACGGGGTGGGAATGGGGTGCCACAGGTCATCCTGCTGGGTGAGACCCCAAATCCTGACCCCCAGGGCTGGGAGTGGGGCACGGGGTGGGAATGGGGGCACAGGATGGGAATGGGGTGCCGCAGCTCGTGCTGCTGGGTGAGACCCCAAACCCTGACCCCCGGGGCTGGGAGTGGGGCACGGGGTGGGAATGGGGTTACAGGGATGGGAATGGGGGCACAGGTTGGGAATAATTGGGTTCCACAGGTCATCCTGCTGGGTGAGACCCCAAATCCCGGCTGGGGTCAGCCAGGGCTGGGAGTGGGGCACGGGGGTGGGAATGGGGTTACAGGGATGGGAATGGGAACACAGAGATGGGAATGGGGGCACGGAATCGGAATGGGGGCATGGAATGGGAATGGGGGCACAGAGGTGGGAATGGGGACATGGGATGGGAATGGGGGCATGGAATGGGAATGGAGCACAGGATGGGAATGGGGGCATGGAATGGGAATGATGGGGTGCCACAGGTCATCCTGCTGGGTGAGACCCCAAATCCCGGCTGGGGTCAGCCAGGGCTGGGAGTGGGGCACGGGGGTGGGAATGGGGGCACGGAGATGGGAATGGAGCATGGGATGGGAATGGGGGCATGGAATGGGAATGGGGGCCCAGGGCTTCGGAAGCTCATCCAGGACTGGGATTGAGGGCCCAGGGCTGGGAATGGGGACCCAGGGCTCGGAGGGCTCATCCAGGGCTGGGAATGCGGCCTCCTGACAGAGCTGCATCCATGCAAACGCAGCTCCATGCAAACGAGGGGTGGGCATCCTGCAGGAGGCAGGAATCCCTTCCCAAGGAGCTCTGGAATTCCCTGCCCATCCAGCCAGGGGTGGGCAGGCTGCAGGAGCCAGGAATGCCATCCCAAAGAGCTCTGGAATTCCCTGTCCATCCAACCAGGGGTGGGCAGGCTGCAGGAGCCATCAATCCCATCCCAAAGAGCTCTGGAATTCCCTGCCCATCCCAATCCCCCTCTTCGCAGGTGCCTGCATCGACGACACGATCCTGAGCCGCCAGGGCGTGGAGAACTTTGCCCGGCTGCCGTCCCTGGAGGTGTCCCGGGGACAGACGGTGGCAGCCCTGTCCCTGCTGTGCTCCCAGACCTCCTCCCTGCTCCAGCGGGGCCCCGCCCGCCTCACGGCGCTGCTGGACCAGCACCTCCGGCGGCTGCGGGAGGCGGCGGCGCCCACGGAGCCGCCCCCGGGTCAGTGAGGCTGCAAACCGGGCTCCGGTTCCCTCCCGGTGATGAGGGGTTCAAGGATGATGGACACAATTCCCATGGAATTCTCCAGCTCTGCAGAGGGGTGTCGGGGGTTGGTTTGACACTGAGGGTCTTGTGACACCCCCCAGTCCCGGCAGGGAGCGGTGGCCGTTCCCTTGTGCTCCCTTGGGATCATCCCTGCAGAGATCAGGGGGATCTCTGGGATCGGCCAGAGGAGGAGGAGGAGGAGGAGGAGCACGGGATGGAGCCTCCAGGGGGGATTTTGGGCGCTCCGAGCCCTGTGCCTTCAGAATGGGGGTGTGCTGTAACCCCGACATCGCTGTCCTGTTCATTAAAATGTCCGTGTGGAGATGCCGAGGCCTCTCTGTGATTTTGGGGGGTGGGTTGGGGGTGTTGCTGCCCCGTGTGGAGATGCCGAGGCCTCGTCTGTGATTTTGGGGGTGGGTTGGGGGTGTTCCTGCCCCCCGGGGGTGGGGGGAGAAGCCAGGGCTGCTCCAGGGGGTCTGAGGGAGCAGAGCTGGGGGTGGGAGAGGGAAATCCCAGGCTGGGAATGCCTCGGGACCACCACGGGTGGGGTGGTCTCTGACGCCCCCCGTGGGTCGGTAATTCCCGGGACCCCCGCGGGTCCGTGATCCCCGGGATCCCCACGGGCCAGTGATTCCCGGGATCCTCAGGTGTCGATGATCCCGGGGACCCCCGCGGGTCCGTGATCCCCGAGACCCCCATGGGATGACCAACCCCGGGACCCCCGTGCGGTTGTGCCTCTCGCGGGGGTCCCCCCACCCCTTTCCCCGGGGCTGCCCCGGTTCCGCTCGGGCGCTGCCCGCTCCCGGTGTCCCGGCAGCTCCCGGTGTCCCGCAGCTCCCGGTGTCCCGGCGGCTCCCGGTGTCCCTCAGCTCCCGGTGTCCCGCATCTCCCGGTGTCCCGCAGCTCCCGGTGTCCCGCAGCTCCCGGTGTCCCGCATCTCCCGGTGTCCCGCAGCTCCCGGCGCTGGCGGCTCCGGTCCTCCACGGAGCAGGGGGCAGAGCCGAGCGGCTCCGGACCGCCCTCCGTGTTCCGCTTCCTGCCGCCGCCGCCGCCGCTCCGGGCAGGATGCGACCGGCTCCCGCCGCCCGCCCGCCGCCCGCCCAGGTGAGCGCCGGTCACCGGCACGGGGGGAAGGTCCGGCCGGCCCCGCGACCCCCGGGCCCGCTGCCCCGGGGGGTGACACCGGCGCGGGGACACAGGGATGGGCTTTGCCCCGCGGGAGGGATGGAGACTCCCGGTGGTACCGGCACAGCCCCGCTCCGCTGCGAGCGGTCGGTGCCGATCCGCGGCGGCACCTGCGGGAGACCCCCGGTGCCCTCCCCTCGGTGCCGGGTTATCCGTGGCAGCGCGGTTATCCGCCCAGTGCCGCGGTTACCGGCGCCGCGGTCGTCCCCGGTACCGGGGCTTGGCCGCTGTCCCGGGGTTATCCCGGGATCCGTCCTACGGCAGCGGCCGGGACTCAGGGATGCCCCGTCAGGGACAGCGCCAGGCCGGGAGAAGCTCCCCCGTGCCTCAGTTTCCCCTCCGGAAGGGCGAAGGGGGCGAACGCCGCACCGGGAGGGCGCGGGGCCCCGCTGGGCTGTGGGTTCCTGGCTCGGGGCTGCGGGACGGAGCACGGTTCCATCCCGGTCCTCGCCCCGGTGCCACCCTCCGGGCCGTGCCACGCTCGCCCCGCGGTAACCGGACTCTGGACCCGGAGCGGGTGGCACAGCCGAGATAACGCGGGGAGGGTCAAAGGCTCCGGCTGACGCAGAAGTTTCCCGGTGCCGCCGCCGGTGCCGTGCGGAGCCCCCCCGGGAACCGGGGACCGGCCCTGCCACCACCCCCTGTCCCGGCGGGGCTGCGGCTGCCACCGCCCCTGAGCCCCCCGACCCCTCCCCGCAGCGGCTCCCGCCGTGACAACCGAATTCGGAGCCGCGGCCCCGCAGCCCGCACGGGAGGGGGCTCGGCCCGGTGCCCCTCTGCCCGCCGGCCATGGGCAGCCACGAGAAGGAGCCGTGCTCCCCGAAAAGGGCCCTGTCCCGCTCCAGCAGCACCGTCTCTTCCAAGCACAGCAGCGTCCAGCAGGTTGGAGCGGTTGGGTTTGGATTTTGGGGGGTTCAGAAGGAGCACGGGGAGGCTTTGGGGGGTTCCCCCTCCTTTACGGTGATGCCCCTGTGGGTACCAAATGTCCCCGCCTGGGGTGAGGTGGGCAGCAGCCTCTGGTGCTCAGGGACCCCCACGCTGCCCCCCGTGCCCGCAGGGCTCGGAGAGCTGGGAGGTGGTGGAGGAGCCCCGTGGCCGGGGCAGCCCCGGGCAGCAGCCGCAGCGGCACGAGGGGTACCTGCTCAAGAAGAGGAAATGGCCCCTGAAGGGCTGGCACAAGGTAAGGGACAGAGCTGGCACCGGGAGCCGTGATCCCGCCTGGGCCTGGCAGGATTTGGGCAAAAAAATCCTTTTCCCCTCCATCCCCAGCGGTACTTCGTGCTGGAAAACGGGATCCTGAAATACTCCACCACGCGCCAGGACGTGAGTGTGTGCCCAGGCTGCGGCCACGCGGCCTCCTGGGGGCTCAGGGCTGGGGACACCCCCGTGACCCCCTGAAAAAGGGGGTCTTCCCCCTGACAGGGGTCCCTGGGCTCCCCCAGGTGCTCAAGGGCAAACTGCACGGTGCCATCGACGTCCCCCAGTCCGTCATGTCCGTCAACAAGAAGGCGCAGAGGGTTGACCTGGACACAGAGGACAACATTTATCACCTCAAGGTGCCGCGGGGGCACCGGAGCCGGGCTGGGACAGGGCTGGGGACATCAGGCCGTGTCCCCTCACTGTGCCCCGTCCCCCAGATCAAGTCCCCGGAGGCGTTCTCCAGCTGGGTGAGCAGCCTGTGCGCCCACCACCGCGGCGAGCGGCCGGAGCCGTGTCCCCCCGCGGGTCCCGCGGGCACCGGGACGCAGGTGGGTGACAGCTCGGGGTGGCAGTGCCCGGGCAAGTGGCTCCTGAGAGCAACCAATGCCCTCTGTGCCCGCTGCAGGGCCAGTGGACGCGGATCCTGCCCTCGGGCAGTGCCCCTGCCCTGTCCGCGCTGGCCAGCTCCCGGGACAAGGTGGACGCGTGGCTGAAGGACAGCGAGGGGCTGGAGCGCTGCTCGGCTGGTGAGCGAGGCCCGAGGGGGTGCTGGGGCTGGGCGGGGTCCCTGTGCCCCCTCCCTGACCCCCGTGCCCCTGGCAGAGCTGTCGGAGTGCCAGGCCAAGCTGCAGGAGCTGACGGGAATGCTGCAGCACCTGGAGGCCCTGCACCGCATCCCCTCGGCCCCGCTCATCCCCGGCAGCCAGGTGAGGGGCTGGGCCAGCTCAGGGAGGGGGTCCCGCGCCCCCTTTCCTGGGGAGGGTCCGGCTGCAGCCCCCTCTTCTCCCTCCCAGCCCTCGGCCGCCGCCGAGAGGCCGAAGAAGGGCCGGAGGAGCACCAGGATCTGGTGCACGCAGAGCTTTGCCAAGGACGACACCATCGGCAGGGCGAGGGTGAGCTGGAGCCCCACCCCACCCCGAGCTCTGCCGCCGCCGGAGCCCCCCGGGTGACCCCCTGAGCCCCGTGTCCCCCCAGGCGGGCCGCCTGCACGGCTCTGTCCCCAACCTGTCCCGCTACCTGGAGCCATCGCAGAGCCAGCTGCCCTTCAGCGTGCCCCCGGAGTACAGCCAGCTGCAGCGCAGCTTCTGGCTGCTGGCCCAGAAAGGTGCATTGGGGCGGGGTCCCAGGGCGGGTTTTGGGGTGCTGACCCTCCGGCTGACCCCCTCCCGTGTCCCCCGGCAGTGCACGGCTCGCTGAGCAGCGTGGTGGCCGCGCTGGTGGCCGAGAGGGCCCGTCTGGAGGAGATGCGGCGGGCGCTGCCCCGCCCGGGCCCGGCCCCGCGCCCCGGCAGCGCCGGCACCGCCGGGGTGAGGCAGCGCGGGCACCCCGGGGCTGTTTTTGGGGTCTCAGCGGGGTGCTGGGTGTCCCCCAACCCTGTCAGCACCGGGGGGGGGGGCTCGGCTCAGCCTCGCCCTTCCCGCAGCCCGCCCTGCGCCGCTTCCACTCGCTGTCCGTGTCCTCCGACACCACGCTGGACTCCTTCGCCTCGCTGCAGCCGGATGAGGTCAGGGGGTGGCCGGGGCGGTTTTGGGGTGCTGTGCCCCCCTGGCGCGGGGCTGAGCCGGTGGCTGTGCCCGCAGCCGGACGCGCTGCCCGCCAAGGGCCGGGAGCAGCAGCTCTCCAACCGCAGCATCGTCTCGCTGGCCGACTCGCACACCGAGTTCTTCGATGCCTGCGAGGCTTTCCTCTCGGCCAGCTCCTCTGAGAACGAGGTGAGGGGGCTTCGGGGGGTCTTTGCTGGTCAGGGAGCTCTGTTGGTGGGGAACTCTGCTGGGGAGGGGGCTCTGTTGGTGGTGGGGGGCTCTGCGGACCCCCCGCCACTCCTCGCTGCTCTGGGTTCATTTCTCCCCTCTCTCTCCCCCGTCCCACCTCGTTAGCCAGCCCCAGAGCCGCTCCCGGTGTCCCCCCCAGCCCCAGAGCCGCTCCCGGTGTCCCCCCCAGCTCCAGAGCCGCTCCCAGTGTCCCCCCCAGCCCCAGAGCCGCTCCCGGTGTCCCCCCCAGCCCCCCGCAGCCCCCTCCCACCCCGCTCCCGGGGTCTCCGCGCTCTCTGAGCCCGGTGCCGGTGCTGCCGGTGCCCCCCCCCCCATCCCGACACCCCCATCCCCGCATCCCGCGGCTCATCCCACCCTTTCGGGGGAGCCCTTCCCTGTAGCGCCCCACCCGCCGCCTCCATGGGGTGCCCCCCACATCCCCCCCATCCCCCCGGGACCCCCGAAGCCGCCGACGGTCCCTGCGCCTCCTCAGCCCTCGGAGGACGAGTCGTGCATCAGCGAGGTCACCGCCGGTGTCTGCGAGGAGCCCGCCGAGCCGGGGGGAACGGGCCGCCCCCCGACAGGTACGGGGAGCACCGGGGAGGGCACCGGGCAGGGAGCGGGCACCGACAGGTACGGGGAGCACCGGGGAGGGCACTGGGGAGGGCACCGGGAGGGCACCGGGCAGGGAGCGGGCACCAACAGGTACGGGGAGCACCGGGGAGGGCACCGGGGAGGGCACCGGGGAGGGCACCGGGGGGCACCGGGGAGGGCACCGGGAGGGCACCGGGCAGGGAGCGGGCACCGGGAGGGCACCGGGGAGGGCACCGGGCAGGGAGAGGGCACCGGGAGGGCACCGGGAGGGCACCGGGCAGGGAGCGGGCACCGACAGGTACGGGGAGCACCGGGAGGGCACCGGGGAGGACACCGGGAGGGCACCGGGCAGGGAGCGGGCACCGCCGGAGGGAAGAACCGCGGCGGAGGCAGCTCTGCCTCCCGACACGGGAAACTCGGCACGGGGAGAACCGGGGGGAACGACAGCTCCGCTCCCCGAGAGCCCCGGGGAGGGGGCGGCTCCGTCCCACCGGCCGCTGCCCGGCAGGAGCGGAGCGCCCGGGGGTACCGGCGGAGCCGCCGCCGCCGCTGGAGCCGCCGCTGGAGCTGCCGGGACCGGACCCGCGGCGGAGGAGCCGCCTGCCCGCGCCCCCCGCGCCCACCGGGGACGTGAGCCTGTGGGGGCTCCTGCGGAGCAGCGTGGGCAAGGACCTGTCCCGCGTGGCGCTGCCCGTGCAGCTGAACGAGCCGCTCAACACCCTGCAGCGGCTCTGCGAGGAGCTGGAGTACAGCCAGCTGCTCGACCGGGCCAGCCGCGCCCGCGACCCCCGGCAGCGCCTGGTGAGCGGGAACCGGGACACCGGGGGCACCGGGGGGAGCGGGGGGAGCGGGGGCAGCGGGGAAACCGGGAGTACCGGGAGCAGCGGGGGCACCGGGAGCACTGGGGGAACCGGGACTACCGGGGACACCGGGAGTACCGGGGGGAGCGAGGAAATCGGGGAGAGCTGGGACACCGGGGGAACCGGGAGTACCGGGGGACCGGGGACACCGGGAGGAGCTGGGACACCGGGGGAACCGGGAGTACTGGGGGCACCGGGAGCAGCAGGGGGAGCTGGGGCACTGGGGGAGCTGGGACACCGGGAGGAGCTGGGACACCGGGGAAACCGGGAGTACTGGGGAAACCGGGAGTACCAGGGGGAGCCGGGATACCGGGGGAACCGGGAGTACCGGGGCAGCTGGGATACCGGGGGAACCGGGAGTACCGGGGGGAGCTGGGACACCGGGGGAACCGGGAGTAGCAGGGGAACCGGGACACCGGGGGAACCGGGAGTACCGGGGAGAGCTGGACTACCAGGGGAACCAGGAGTGCCGGGGGAGCTGGGATACCGGGGGAATCGGGACAGCGGGAGGAGCCAGGAGCACCGGGAGGAGCTGAGGGCACCGGGAGGAGCTGAGGGCACCCGGAGGAGCTGGGAGCACCGGGGGGAACCGGGACAACGAGTGAGCCAGACCACTGGGGGAGGTGGGGGCACGGGGGGAGCTGGGACACCGGGGCTCAGCGGGGACACGGGGGCTTGGGGAGGATCAGGGGCTCAGGGGCACAAGGGGTTCAGGGGGCTTGGGGGGGATTGGGGACATGGGGGGGATTTGGGGGCAGGGGGACACGAGGGACTTTGGGGACATGGGGGAGCCCAAGGACATGTGGGGACAGGGAGAATTTGAGGATTTTGGGGACATGGAGGAGCTCCTGGGACTTGTGGCCATGGGAGGGCAGGCGTGTGCCCGTCCCGGGCGTGGTGGCAGCGTGGCGGTGGCCGCGGTGACAGTGTGGCGGTGGCCGTGGTGACAGCGTGGCGGTGGCCGCGGTGACAGCGTGGCGGTGGCCGCGGTGACAGCATGGTGGTGGCCACGGTGACAGGTGTACGTGGCCGCCTTCGCCGTGTCCGCCTACGCCTCCACCTACTACCGGGCGGGCAGCAAACCCTTCAACCCCGTGCTGGGCGAGACCTACGAGTGCGTGCGGCCCGACCGCGGCTTCCGCTTCATCAGCGAGCAGGTGGGCACCGGGGGGTCCTTGGGGGCACCCCGGGGCTGAGTGGGGCGCTGGCACGTCCCTCCTTGTCCCCGCAGGTGTCCCACCACCCGCCCATCTCCGCCTGCCACGCTGAGTCCGACAACTTTGTCTTCTGGCAAGGTGAGAGGCCGGGAGGGCGTCGGGCGCTGGGAGAGTCCCCCCAAAGGTGGGGGGACTTGGGGGGTCTCACCTCCTCCTCCTCCTCCTCCAGACATGAGATGGAAGAACAAATTCTGGGGCAAATCCCTGGAGATCGTCCCCATGGGCACCGTCAATGTCCAGCTGCCCAGGTGAGACCCCAGCCCCACTGACAGCCCCCCGGGAGTGCCCCCCCGTGCCCCGCTGCCCTCCGTGCCCACCCACGGGGCGGTGCCCGCAGGACCGGGGACCACTACGAGTGGAACAAGGTGACCACGTGCATCCACAACGTGCTGAGCGGGCCCCGCTGGATCGAGCACTACGGGGAGGTGCTGATCCGCAACACCCGCGACGCCTCCTACCACTGCAAGCTCACCTTCTGCAAGGTCTGCCCCGCCCCGCCCCGCCCGGCCCCGCCCTGCCCCGCCCCTTCCTGCCCAGGCTCCGCCCACACACCGCCCTGACCCCTCCCCTGTGCATTATCGCGGCCTGGCCCCGCCCCCTCAGGTGTGGCCCCGCCCCCTCGTCACCGCCTTGGCAATTAAACACCGTGTTGTTGCCCCGCCCCTTTTCTGGCTCCACCCCTCCCCAATAGCCCCGCCTCTTAGTGCCCCACCCTTTTCCCAGTAGCCCCGCCCATTCCAAATGACCACACCCATCATAGCCACGCCCTTTCTAGAACTTTCCGCCCATCACGCATTGCCCCTCCCTTTTTCAGTAGCCACGCCCTCTCCCACTGGCCCCACCCTCTCCCAGTGGCCACGCCCCCTTCCAATTACTCCACCCTTTCCAGAAGATTCCTCCCCATGGCCCCACCCTTTTCCTATGGCCACACCCTTCCCCAACGACCACACCCATCACAGCCACGCCCTATCCCGCTAGCCCCACCCATTTCTCGCTAGCCCCACCCTTTTCCCGCTGGCACCACCCTTTCCCTCTGCCCCTGCCCGTCTCCCGGTCCCCCCCGTTCCCGCCGCCCCGCTGAGGCGCCGCTGGCCGCAGGCCCGGTACTGGGGCGCGGGGGCCAACGAGGTGCAGGGGGCCGTGCTGAGCCGCGCCGGGACGGCCGTGGAGCGCCTGGCGGGCAAATGGCACGAGGGGCTGCACCGCGGGCCCGGCCCGGGCCACTGCGTCTGGAGAGCCAGTAAGGACCCGGGGGGACTGCCCTGGGGGGTACCCGGGCCTTTGGGGGGGTACCCCGGCCTTTGGGGGGGTTATCCCTACCCTGGGGGGGCTATCCCAGCCCTGGGGGGGTTACCCGGACCTTTGGGGGGGTTATCCCAGCCTTTGGGGGCTATCCTGGCCTTTGGGGGCTATCCCAGCTCTGGGAGGGTTATCCCAGCCTTTGGGGCTATCCCAGCCCTGGGGGGGTTACCCCAGCCCTGGGGGGTACCCGGGCCTTTGGGGGGATACCCCGGCTTTTGGGGGGTTATCCCAGCCCTGGGGGGGTACCCCGGCCTTTGGGGGGTTACCCCAGTCTTGGGGGGGTTACCATGGCCTTTGGGGGCTATCCCAGTCCTGGGGGGGTTATCCCAGCCCTGGGGGCGTTACCCTAACCTTGGAGGGGTTACCCCAACCCTGGGGGGGTTACCCCAGCCCTGGGGGGGCTATCCCAGCCCTGGGGGGGGTACCCGGGCCCTGGGGGGGTACCCCAACCCTGGGGGTGTTATCCAGCCCTGGGGGGGTTATCCCAGCCCTGGGGGGGTACCCCGGACTTTGGGGGCTATCCCAGCCTTTGGGGTTTATCCCAGCCCTGGGGGGGTTACCCCGGCCTTTGGGGGTTTCCCCGGCCCTGGGGGGGTTACCCCAGCATTTGGGGGTTATCCCGGACTTTGGGGTGTCTCTCACTGTCCCCACGCCCCTCCCCGCAGACCCCATGCCCCGCGACCACGAGAGGAATTACGGCTTCACGCAGTTCGCGCTGGAGCTGAACGAGCTGACGCCGGAGCTGCGCCGCCTCCTGCCCTCCACCGACACGCGGCTGCGGCCGGACCAGCGGTCAGCAGCACCCCGGGGTGCGGCTGGGCAGGCCCAGGCCGGCCGGGCGGTCACGGCCCCGTTGGGTGTCCCGCAGGTACCTGGAGGAGGGGAACGTGCCCGCGGCCGAGGCGCAGAAGCGGCAGATCGAGCAGCTGCAGCGGGACCGGCGCCGCGTCATGGAGGAGAACAACATCACCCACCAGGCCCGCTTCTTCAGGTCTGGGGGGGCTCCCAGCCCTGGGGGGCCGTGGGGCAGGGGATGTGGGGTTCTCGTGGGGTGGGGAGACCTTCTGGGGGTGCTGAGAGCACCTCTTGGCTTGGGGGATGTGGGGCTCTTATGGGGTGGGGAGACCCTTCCCAGGAATATTGGGAGCACCCCATGGCTCAGGGTGGTGGGGGGCTCTCAGGGAATGGGGAAACCCCCGTGGGTGCCCCCCTCAGGACACCCCATGGCTCAGGGGGCTGTGGGGCTCTCAGGGAATGGGGAAACCCCCCGTGGGTGCCACCCTGAGGACACCCCATGGCTCAGAGGGGTGGGGGGCTGTCAGGGGGCTGTGGGGCTCTCAGAGAATGGGGAAAACCCCCCATGGGAGTCCTGGGGGCACCCCATGGCTCAGGGGGGCTGTCAGGGGGCTGTGGGGGGCTGTGGGACTGTCAGGGAACGTGAAAAACCCCCCGTGGGAGTCCTGAGTGCACCCCACGGCTCAGAGGGGTGTGGGGCTCTCAGGGAACATGGAAAACCCCCGTGGGTGCCACCCTGAGGTCACCCCATGGGTCAGAGGGCTGTGGGGTTGTCAAGGGGCTGTGGGGCTCTCAGGGAACGTGGAAAACCCCCTGTGGGAGTCCTGAGGGCACCCCACGGCTCGGGGGGCTGTGGGGCTGTCAGAGATTAGGGAAAACCCCCCGTGGGAGTCCTGGGGGCACCCCACGGCTCAGAGGGGTGTGGGGCTCTCAGGGAATGTAGAAAACCCCCGTGGGTGCCACCCTGAGGGCACCCCATGGCTAAGAGGGCTGTGGGGCTGTCAGAGGGCTGTGGGGCTCTCAGAGAATGTGGAAAACCCCCCGTGGGTGCCACCCTGAGGACACCCCATGGCTCAGAGGGCTGTGGGGCTCTCAGGGAATGTAGAAAACCCCCGTGGGTGCCACCCTGAGGACACCCCATGGGTCAGAGGGCTGTGGGGTTGTCAGGGGGCTGTGGGGCTCTCAGGGAACGTGGAAAACCCGCCGTGGGTGCCACCCTGAGGACACCCCATGGCTCAGGGGGCTGTGGGGTTGTCAGGGGGCTCTGGGGCTCTCAGGGAATGCAGAAAACCCCCGTGGGTGCCACTCTGAGGACACCCCATGGCTTGGGGGGCTGTGGGGCTCTCAGGGAATGCAGAAAACCCCAGTGGGAGTCCTGGGGGCACCCCACAGCTCAGGCAGGTGTGGGAAATGAAGGGAACGGTGAGACCCTCTGGGGACTTCATGGTTCAGAGGAGCGTGGGGCTCTCAGGGAATGGGAAACTGCCCCCTCGAGATTCCCAACTGTGCCCACCCCGTGCCCACCCCGTGCCCAGGCGGGTGACGGACGCCGCTGGCAGGGAGTCCTGGGTCACCAACAACACCTACTGGAAGCTGCGCCTGGACCCCGGCTTCTCCCAGCTGGACAGCGCCGTGCTCTGGTAGCCACCCCCAAACCCGGGGGGTGCTGAGCCCCCCCAGCTCCTCACAGCAGTGCCCAGCGGTGGGGCTGGTCCCCCCAGCACTGGGGGTGCAGAATCCCCCCCCCCCCCAACCCTTTCCGAGCCATTTTGCCGCTGTTTCGGTAAAACTGTGATACCAAAATGGGAGGGGGGGCACCGGCAATGCCTCCCCCCGGCCCAGGGCAGAGCCTTGAGGCACTTTGGGGCAGGGGCTGGCGGTGCCCCCCTGCCCTGGGGGGCACAGGATGATAATGGGGGGTTTAGGGGGTCGCAGGGTGCCCGCGGGCGGGGAGACCCCATTGCCCCCCCCCAAATTGTGCACAGGGCTGCTCTAATAAAGGCTGTGAAGAATTGGGGTGTGCAGAGATTCCTTCTCCCCACCCCGCCACCATCAGCACCCCCGGGGGGGGCTCAGGACCCTCCCCCAAATCAGGCTGGGGATGCACAACTCCCTCCCCCACCCCGTGCCTCAGTTTCCCTCCCCACACGCACAGAATTGCCCCCAGAGCCGCGTCCCACAATGTCCCTTTATTGCGATATGCTGCTGCCCCCCCCGCCCCACACCGGGCGCGGGGAGGGGGCTCAATAAATACTTCAGCATCACCCCCCCCCCTTAAAAACCACCGACACCAAAAAAAACCAACAAAAATAACCTCACCATCATCCCTCCCTCCCCGCCCGTCCCCGCGGCCCCACCGGGGCGGCACCGGGGGCTGATTGTCGTGCTGAGGATACGGTGTGGGGGGATTTGGGGTGCCCGGGTGGGGTGGGGAGGGCTCGAACCCCTCTCCGCCGTGCCTCAGGTGCTGTAGAAGCCGTAGTAGCCGCTCTCGGTGACCGGCTCCCGGTCGTAGCCGTCGCCGTTGCGCGGCGGGGAGGAGCTCTCGGTGCTCTCGGGGTACGGGGACAGCCGCCGCCGCTTGCACTCGTACAGCCCCGAGTCCGGTGAGCCCCCCGGTGCCGCGGCGGGCGGTTCGCTGGCCCAACCCTCCATCTCCTTTCCCTTCTCCTCCCGGGGCTCCCGGTACCAGCCCAGAGCCGCGGCGCCGCCCTTGGGGCCGTACTGCGCGGGGCTCCAGCCCCCCGGCACCCCGAAACCCGCCGGCCCCTCGGGGTAATAGGGCAGGGGCGGGTGTGGGGCGGGCGGCAGCGCCAAGGGTTTCACCCCATAGGGCACCAATTTGCCCCCCGCGTACCCCCCATCGTACCCCCCGAACTCCAGCGCGGCGGGGCCGGGGGGCTGCTGCGGGGGGAAGTACCAGTGCGGAGGGTCTTTGGGGGGCAGCGGCAGCGCAGCCCCCCGCTCCCCCCCGAAGAAGCGGCCCGGGGGCAGCGGGCACTGCTCGGGCAGGAGGGGCTGGAAGCGCGGGGCCGGCAGCAGCTGCTGGCAGCCCGCGGCCGCCGGCGGGGACGGGCTCAGCCGCTCGCTCTCCGCGGCCGCGTACATCCTGCGGGGAACGGGCACACCGGGTGGGTTTGGGGGGTTGTTCCAGCCGGGTAAAGCCGGGAGGGCACCGGGGAGGGACAGGAGGGAGGAGAAGGGGTGGCACTCACGAGTCAAAGTTGTCCCGGAATCCTTTGGCGAAGGGGTTGTGGTCGATTTTCAGCTGGGTGATCTGGGGGGACGTGGCAGCTTGGTCCTCCTCTGGGGTGTCCCCCCGTCCCTTTCCCCCCATCCCACCGGAATCCCACCCTTTGCCAGGGCAGGGGGTGCTGGGGGGGCTGTGGGATGCTGAAGGGGTTTGGGGGTGTGTGGGGCGGTCCTGGGGGGCAGCAGCGAATCCAGGGGTGGCCTGAAGGGATCCAGGGGGAGGCTCTGGAGGTCCGAGGGGAGCTGAGGGCACCGGGCGGCCTCTGGGATGCCGAAGGGATGCAGGGGAGATGTTGGGGGGCCGCAGGATGCTGTGGGACAGCTCTGAGAGGGATGGTGGGATGCTGAGGGATCCAGGGGGGAAGCTCTGGAAATGTGAGGGTCCATGGAAGGATTTTGGGATGCTGAAGGGATCCAGGGGGAAGCCCTGGAAATGTGAGGGTCCAGGGAAGGATTTTGGGATGCTGAAGGCATCCAGGGGGGAATCTCTGGAAATGTGAGGGTCCAGGGAAGGACTCAGGGATGCTGAAGGGATGCTGAAGGGATGCTGAAGGGATCCGGGGACGATCCTGGGGTGCTGAGCTCGCAGGGATGCTGCAGGCGCTGGCAGACAGGGGTGGCCTCGGGGGAGGCCGCCTGAAGCTGAGGACAGCCTGGATGCTGCCGGGGGGATGAACGGGGCGCGGTTTTGGGGGGCTGTGCTGACCCTGGGATATCCCGCCTGGTTTCTGGGGGTGCTGCCGGAGTTTTTGTGCTGTTGGGGGGTTTGGGGGTGTCTCGTACTCACGTCGGCGTTCTGGTAGGCGGTGACGGCGATGAACTGGGTCTCGGGGAAGGCGAAGGTGTGGGTGTGCGGGGAGGGGGACCCGTCCTCCGCCTCGCCCTCCCTCACCTCCGTGACGTGCAGCCGCGGCTGGTACTTGTGCAGCGACTGCAGCACGATCATCTGGGGGGGAGTGGGGGGTAAAAGGGGACAGCGAGCGGTCAGGAGGGGGGTGGGGGGTCCCAGGGGGCTGCCACGGAGGCAGGAGCCTCCCCTCACCTGCCCCACGTTGTTGGAGGCTCCTTTGTTGTTGGTGAGCTTCAGCTTCCCGAAGGAAACCTCCTGGCGCATCCAGTGCGCGCCCGTGTTGGGAGAGTCGGGGTGCAGGTACAGGCGGTTCCCTGGGGAGGGTACCCCAGTAACACCAGTAACGCCATTAGCCCCAGTAACCCCAGTAACACCAGTAACTCCAGTATCCCCAGTAACCCCAGTAACCCCAGTAACCCCAGTATCCCCAGTAACCCCAGTACCCCCAGTACCCCCAGTACCCCCAGTACCCCCAGTACCCCAGTAGCCGCAGTACCCCCAGTACCCCCAGTAACCCCCATTATCCCCAGTACCCCCAGTAACCCCAGTACCCCCAGTACCCCCAGACTCCCCAGTACCCCCAGTGCCCCCAGTACCCCCAGTACCCCCAATACCCCCAGTGCCCCCAGTACCCCCAGTACCCCAGTACCCCCAATACTCCCAGTATCCCCAGTACCCCAATACCCCCAGTACCCCAGTACCCCCAGTACCCCCAGTACCCCCAGACTCCCCAGTACCCCCAGTGCCCCCAGTACCCCCAGTACCCCCAATACCCCCAGTGCCCCCAGTACCCCCAGTACCCCAAATAACCCCAGACTCCCCAGTACCCCCAATACCCCCAGTACCCCCAGTACCCCCAGTAACCCCAGTACCCCCAGACTCCCCAGTACCCCCAGTGCCCCCAGTACCCCCAGTACCCCCAATACCCCCAGTGCCCCCAGTACCCCCAGTACCCCAAATAACCCCAGACTCCCCAGACTCCCCAGTACCCCAGTACCCCAGTACCCCAGTACCCCCAGAGCCGCAGGGTGCTCTCAGGGGTGCCAGCCCGTACCTGGCACGCTGCCCTCGGCCTTCCCGCACTGCACCCACTTGCCGCCCTGGTAGCGCCAGTGGTGTTGGTCCACCAGCACCACGTCCACGCACACGCTGTAGTGCGCCACGGGGTTCAGCCCCGACAGGCTGAAGCTGAGGAAGGGGAACATTCTCCTGGGGAGGGACAGAGGCACGACAATGTCACTGTCGCTGTCACTGTCACTGTCACTGTCAGGCCCCGCTCGGCCCGTGGCGCACGGGGCACTTTGGAAGGTGATGGGGAAACTGAGGCAGCGCGGTGCCCACCCCCCTCCCGCGGCCGGCCCGGTGCCCGTGCGGGGCTGAGTGACCCCGGCAGCTGCGGGGATGTACCGGGGCCGGTCCCCCCCGCTCCCGGCATCTTCCTCCCCCTCCCCAGGCACCTTCCGGATCGGAAACCAACACCGCCGCTATTTCGGGCTGGCCGCCAGCCCGCGCCAAGGGCACCGAGGGGACACGGTGGCACCGGGGGGCACCACGGGGCGGCAGCTGCCACCCCCCCCCTCCCCGCGACCCCCGGGTGTCCCCTCAAAGCAGCGCTGCGCTGGGAGATCTCCGCAACCTGCTCCGTCCAGTGCTGCCCGCTCGCCCCAGTAACCCCAGTAGCCCCAGTAACCCCAGTAACTCCCAGTAACCCCAGTATCCCCCAATAACCCCAGTAACCCCAGTAGCCCCAGTAACCCCAGTAACCCCAGTAACCCCATAGCCCCAGTAACCCCAGTAGCCCCAGTAGCCCCAGTAGCCCCAGTAACCCCAGTAACTCCAGTAACCCCAGTAACCCCAGTAACCCCCAGTAACCCCAGTAGCCCCAGTAACCCCAGTAGCCCCAGTATCCCCAGTAACCCCAGTAACCCCAGTAACCCCAGTAGCCCCAGTAACTCCAGTACCCCCAGCACCCCCAGTACCCCCAGTAGCCCCAATAGCCCCAGTACCCCCAGTAACCCCAGTAACCCCAGTATCCCCCAATAACCCCAGTAACCCCAGTACCCCCAGTAACCCCAGTAACCCCAGTAACGCCAGTACCCCCAGTAACCTCAGTAGCCCCAGTAACCCCAGTATCCCCAGTAACCCCAGTAACCCCAGTACCCCCAGTATCCCCAGTAGCCCCCAGCAGCACCCCTCAAACCCTCACTGGGACACGGGGCTGTCCCCAAACGGGGATTTTTCACCCCGAATTTTGGGGGGAGAGGGGACACGAGGGGAAAAGGGGGGAGGGGGTTCGGGCCCCCGCAGGAAACGGGGCCGGGGCAGCGCCGGGGGAAGAGCGGCGGAAAGAAACATCAGCGGGTGGAGGCTGAGTCAAAATTGCCCTTGCGAGAGGGTGAGGAATAGAAAAAGAAAGAGAAGATAAAAAAAAAAGAGAGAGAAAAATAGAAAGAGAAAGAAAAAAAGAAAAGAGAAAAAAAAAGCCAGAAAAAGACAAGAGAAGAAAATGAAGATTAAGAAAAAGAAGGAGGGGAAAATGAAGAGAAAAAAATAAAAAGCAGAAGAAAAAGGAAGAGGAATATGAAAAATAACGGGAAAAAAGAAGTGGAAAAGTGAAGAATAATCAGGTGGAAAAGAGAAAGAAGGGGACGATAAAGACTAAAAACAAGAACATTAAATAGTAAAAATAAGAATGAAAATATGATAAAGAAAGCGAAAGAGTAGAAGATAAAGAAAAGGCTAAAGATGGAGAGAAAGATTAGGATAAAAGGAGAAAGCAGCGGCCGTGGTGAGGAGCTGCACCGGCGCTGGCCCCGGGAGCACCGGGGACCCCCGGGACCCCCGGGACCCCCTTTTCCCCCCGTGTCCCCCCCGGCTCCGTCCCGCGGGCTGACATCTCCTCTGCAGCTC